CTCTGTAAATTGTATACGAGTCACGTTTACATCTAGTTTGCAAGTTTCGTTGAAAATAATACATTCATCGTATATCGTTGAATCTTTGAGTTTATTTTTACTAAAAAAAAAAAAAAAAAAGGAAACGTTACAAATGGGCATGAAATATTTGTATGATAAATCATTGGTACGATAAATTGTATTGTATGAAATAATGATAAGATTGTTAACATTATTAATATCTGTAAAATAATTGAAATGAAACGTTGATAAAAATCAGAATAAATGTAACAAATGTAAATGTCAAGGCACGTGTTGATTACTTCGTTCAACGGAAGGAAGTTGTAAATTAACGCTGATTCGTGTCGAAATAGACACGTTGTTATAAAAGAGAAGAAAAGTTAATAAATACAATAATTAAGAGTGTATAGCTCTGTAACACTTCTTTAATCATGTTATCTGTATAAGTATAATAATATAATTAACAGTAGGTATTTAACTTCGCCATAAAAATATACGGATAACATCGATATCCCATCTTCCACAATTCTGTTTTTCCTTTCTTCTTCTTCTTCTCTCCTCCTTCTCTTCTTCTACTTTTTAATACTCATTCTTCTTTATTAATAATTAATAAAATATCGACTATTAATTCTAACAATCTTGCTAATCACCGTTCCAAGATCATCCAACAATGACCAGCTAATTGCTCTTCTAATAATTATCCGACAATTCGTAAATTATCCAAGCGAGGTAATTAACTGATCCACGACTGACCCGACTGAAAATCCGCAAGAACGAGCGAACTCATGAAAACAATGAGTCATTATTTCGACACGAGGAACTATTCTGGCTCGAAATGCAAATGAATATTCCGAGAGGCGTGTAATCGATAACGTCGTGATGTAACTTTAACCGATAATAACGTGATGCGAAGCAATGAACCAGTTGTGCCGCTATTATCACATGTTTTTACGATAAGATCGTTTGTTGTTCCCGTGGCGAAGATGGAGAGAGATGGAGAAACAGAAGAAAAACGAAAGGAAGAGACGGAAGAAAGGTGAAGAAAACTCGAAGAAAAAGAGAAGAAGAAAGAACAAAAAAAAGGAAGAAAATGAAAGAAGAAAGAAACGGAAAATGGAAGAAAGATGAGACGAAGGGAAAAAGGGAGAAGATTCCTTAGTTGTCCTCCACTGCGAGCGCCACTTCTTATCGTTGCATCGTCAGATAATATCTCTATGAAGCCGCGAATCGCCGCCACGAAACAAATTGCTAAATTGCTCGGCTCGTAATCCAGCGCGTCTTAGACTAACTATTCGAACAAACGAACGCCAGTCTGACTTGGTCTGACACGTTCGTTCACGAATCAAAGTTATCTCGAGAGCCAAGGGAATCCTCTCGATGGGAGGTGGTGCGCGTGACAGACAGATTCTGTTGGTAATATTTCGTATACTTGGAGCGACAAGCGGATAACGATCGAATATAAATTTCTTTCTTTTCTTCTTCTCCTTTTTTTAAACTCCACCCCTCACGATTTATTTTACGGCCACGGCCGTTAAACTTATCTACGTATTTGCATTGAAAGCGCTGTGACTAACGCGAGATACCGTATTGTAATGTAATTTAATGCCGGGTTTAATGATTTTCAGTTTTATCGACTGAAACGAAATTTTAGAATAAATATTCAATTGGTGTATAATATTTGTTTAAATACGTAAGAATGAATTATTACGAATTATTATATATTATAAACACGACGAAGAATACCTGTTGCAGAGATCCGTTTTGGATCTGTCCTTAAAATTTCTCTGAGTGCTGTTAATAAATTAAAATCCCTTTGGAAATTGGACGATAATTAAAACTAGAAGATCGGATCAACCTCTTTTAAACGTACATTACTCCGAGCAGAGACCTAATTCGAACCTAATTCACCAAAAAAAGAGAAAAAAGTACTCGGTTCGACCGGTTCCAGGTCGACGCAGAGAGATAAAACCCCGACTTTCCAAACCCCTTCCCCTCCCCAGCCTTCCACAAACTTCTTCAAACCTATTAAAATTAACCACCACCGTGTTCAACACCATGAAACGACACGAAATCCTTCGAATCGAATCCCTGTCCGTTCGATAACGCGCCTCTAAAAAAAAAGAAAAATAAAAAAAAAAAGAAGAAAGGTAACCGTGCCTATAAATACCTCGAGCAAGCGCATACGCAATACTCGAGTACCCACCGTGCTCCATCGTATCCCCCAGAGAATATTACATAATCGCGTGCAACAAGTGCGTTTTCTCCTTTACGAATCCTTTCGAGAGCCGATACACTCTCGTTGCGCGAGAGTTTTCTCTCGTGCGAAACCGGCAATTATTTTCGGTGGCGTAACGAAGACGAGACCGACCGGTCGGGCCACGCTTGATGAGGAATGAGGCGGCGCGATTTCACGAAGGGTAGGAACCGTAGCGGTTAAATTTATCCCTCGCGGAGTTTCCAAGAGCTCGTTTTGCTCGATGAGATGCCTAAAACGCTCACGGTTTCGAGAGGACTCGGAAATAGCTATGGACTACGGGCTCCCGAAATATCTAACGCCATAGATCATGGACGCGTGTGACCGGCCACGTCTTTCCTCCTGAATAGATCGCGATCGAAGAGAGAAGATCGTCCCTTTGACGGCTGCCTGATGACGCGCGTCTTTCGACAATAAGGGAAATGGCGAAATCCCGAAACGAGGGGAGGTTGATGGCTTTCCTGACGATTCGAGAATGAAATATAAGGAATTTTTTTCTCTAAGATTTCGAGTTGCGTTTCGCAAGAATTTTGGAGATTAAGTGTTTGTATATTTGTGTTTCACAGGAATGAATATGTAATAATAAGCAGCTGAAATTTGAGCTTGATTTCAGGAAATAATATTTCTTATTACGTGATTTTGGAAGAAAGATATTAAAAATTGATGAAATTGAATATGAATATTTAAATTGAAACGATGTAACTTCGAACGTTTGAAAAATAAAAAGTATGTTTGAAAAATCATAAATATAAATAAATCGATTAATTTATATTGATAATATTTTGATAATATTTACCATTTTTTGGATTTTAATATGGAAACATGTTTGATATCATATTTCAAGTGGTTATGTAAAGTATAATACACATCGATGAAGATAAAATGTGCTTGGAGAACACTTAAAATGGAACATTAAGATAACAATCGTAGAAGGAAGAATGGACTTGGAATAGAGTTGTTTAATTGCTTTTAAGAAAATTAAACCGTGAATCATCATTACATTATCAGCCATTATATTCTTATATGTGTATCTAAATTTGATACAGAATTGATCCACTATTTGTCGGTTTTTTACCATCGTGTATCAAAGGAATGATATCCAATAAAATAAGCTATTTTAAATGGAAAATGTTGCATTGTCTTCTTTAATTTATTTCTATCGCGAAAAATATAAATTTTCTATTTTAATATAAAATTATGAATCATTGCATTAATACACGATACCTAAAGATCAATGCAAGAAAAATAGATTCTAATTTTATTTATTGGACACTGTACAAAATACGAATGAACAGGACATCAACCTTAAAGATAAATCTACAATTGTTATCAATCTATTTATAATTTTATCCCAATTACTTAAGAACAGATTAAATTAAATGTCAAAGAAACGAGGCTTGTAATTAATTTTCATCTTTTTCATTAAAAACAAAAATATTCATTGTATTGAACAAAGATTGTGTTACCTGTAATTATAATTGAATAGAAATTGTATTTAATCGAATCATGAATTCATGAATGGATTTTATAATCGAAATTGAACTAAGAAATAGCAGAGTAAAGCAATAAATTTTCGTTCGAACTAGTTATTCTTCGACGTGAAGATCAAAATCTGATGAAATTGGTGAACGGATTTCATTGCTGTATTTTCGCACTTTTGATGGACAACGACTCATCACGATTCAACGTTTCCCCTGTACACTTGACGATACTTAACCATGCGATATGATACGATGATACGCAAGTGCAGACGTATCTTTATCAAAATTGCGTTTTCTGTTTCGCATAACGTAATGAGGGTATGTGCAGAAAATCACAATGTATCGTATCACTGGTATAATGGTATACTCTGTCTTTATGATTCATTCGAGATTGAGATAAGGCCTATATATATTATAATAATATATGTAATAGATTATGGAAATTCTATTCAAATCTATTCAAGCTTGAGAATTATTTGTATAAAATATAATTGTCAAAATAATAAAGGTAATTATGAGACTTTTTACTTTCATTATTAGAATCAAAATAATTTATCAATATAAATTTTTTCTAAGCTAAAAATAAAAATAATTCAATTCTATATTACGAGGGATAATTTTTTTATTTTTATTTTGGATAAAAATTATACGAGAGTCTAATAAATCTTAGGATGAAAAAAAATGATAAGATATGTTTATCACTTGTTTTTTTTTTCGTCAAAATGTATAATAAAACGTCTACTTCCAATGAAATATGAGTTTACTTTTATATTCACGTTTTTTTATGACTTTCTTGTTTAACATATCACATTATATTAACATGAATTACTGCTAATCTATCTTGAAAATAAAACATATTTCAATCTTTAAAATGTTTCATCCAATTTCAAAAAAACAGCAGATAACACTCAAATAATTAATCTAAAAAAAAAAAACTAGCAAAAACTACGCACAAAAATCAATCAAAAAACCCATAAAAATCAAATCTAAGTAATATTTTTGGATCCATTTCCAAAATCATAAATTACATACAATCGTTTCTAAATTTTCGAAATCGTAATAATATACAAATGAAACGAATCCAAGAATATTACAGAAAAAAAAAAAGAAAAAAAGAAGACGAGCAAGACGAGATTGTTAGAAGGTATTAGTTCTCTATTTATAAAAATATTCCAGGAAGAGATTTTTTTTTAGAAAAAAAAAAAGACCATCGTGGAGAGAAATTAATACATTAGTCGTGTACGATAAGGTACGATGCCCCTTACTTGAAGTAGAGCGATCACCAGACGCGTTTCACCGCTCTGCACTGCTATGGTGCTTATGGTGGTGGTCGGGCTGGTGGTTTGTTGGGTTCCATCCTCGTTGCTCTCCACCATTGTTCGTGATTCCTTCTCACGAGGACCCTCGCTATTCTCCGTCGTTTCCATCGAGTCGTGCCCGTCTACCATTCTCGCAACTCTTCTCTTTCGCGGCAAAACAAAATCGTTCGAGATATCGGCGTGGATCGATTCGGTGATCGACTTTCTTTTCGTACCTCGTCACTTTAATCGTATCGAGGAGAATGATATGCGCGCGAAAAAGATTAACAAAGCGAGATTTGGATTTGAGGGGATTGGAGTTAATTTTTCTAAATGTTCGAACAATTAAAGTCGTTTTTTGTAACTCGAGAGAGAAAATGAGATTAAAGTCTCGAAAATATAAAGTTGCGATGATGCAAACTATTTTATGCACGATTTATAGACTCGTATCTCGTAGATTTTTATAGAGATGATCTTATTATAAATGAAACATTTTATCATTGATGGTTCGTAGAATTCGAAGTAATTATGTGTCGTGTAATTTATTGATATTTATTCTCTAGAATTGTCTCGAATAAAATAAATCGATGAATTTTTCTTTCTTTGAATTACAATTGGAAAAATATTAAATTTTGTGTATAGATGCATTTGATATGTACAAAAAATATAACTCGAAGATTTTAATTCTTTGAAATTCAAGTGACTTTCATAATTTGGAAAAGATATTAGACAAAATATTTTTGAATATATATATTCAAATAAGAAACGTTTCGAATATTTAAAATATGAAAAACTAAACAAACTAAACTTGTAAATTTCAGATATTTGAGATTTTCAAAAATTTGCAACTTTCAAAGCTTCATAAATATCGAAAATTTAGGCTTCGTTTAACACATCAAATCCAATTCTCGCTAACCCTACAAACTATTAAATTATCAACTCGAGCAGGACAAGTTACTTACGTAACTCAACCCGCCATTATAACATTAATAAATTGTTAATTCGCTGTAATGATATACGATATCTCCATTTCTCTCAATATGTCAACTACATAACCAATCTGCCAACTTGAAAGCAGAAAACAAAAGTCAGAATTAATAATAATCTCTCCTTTCTCGATCGATAAATATCAATTCGCCACAATGTACAATATTTTATTTCCCTCTTGTCCAATCAAATTCTAAAACACGAGGAATAGAAACGAGACGAGATAATATTTAAAATCGAACAAATTTCCTTCTCTTCCTCCCTCCCTCTTTGAAACTACTCCCCGACGACGTATTACGTTACACAAAGAGGGCAGAGACTTTACACCCACGAATCGCAGTTCCGACTTTCTACCTTTGAGATATATCAAAGTTCGTGGCGGGGAATTCGACCGGCAGTATTTCAGCGAAAACACGGAATTCGATTGGCCTGCCTCCAAACGGCCGAGCGGATATGCAAAAGGGGCGGGCGAAGGTTTAACAGCCAAAGCGTCCATCCACCGTCGAATTAATTTTGATCAACGTTCCGCATTCCGTTGAGAGGCCGCCTTTATCACGCGACTCGAGATCGACTCGTCTCCTTTCTTTCTTGGCGATCGGCGAATCGTTTACGTTTCTCCACTGATTAACGTTATTTTTGGCGATTCGCCAAACGAGCGAATTCTGCCGAGAAGGTGCCGAGTCGGCCACGTCGGTTCGAGTTATCTCTCGGAGGAAAAAGATTGTCTGGGTGGGTGATTCGAAACGACGGAGGAGAGAATGGTCGAGAATTAAGTTCTAGTGGAATGGAAGAAATTTTTTAGAGATCGAAAGAATTTGGAAACTTCTTTTTAAGATGAATATATTTGTTTAAGGAAATATTTGAAACTTTCATTCGTAGAATTTTGAACTTTGTTTTTTGAAATGGAAGTTGAAGAGGTTCTCAAATATTTCCGATTCAAAATTGGAGAAATTGAGATGAATACTTCCATTCAGAAATATTTTAATTCGTTTCTAGTATTGAAAAATAAAAAAGATTTGAAACATGAATGGATTTATTCATGAATCTTTGAATTCACTTATTGATTCTATTTTAAGATTTATAATGGAGTTTTGAAGGAATTATTCCAATTTTCCCAGTTTAAAATGAATACCTCCGTTGAGAAAATTTTGAACTTATTGTTAAGAAGAAGTCATGAAACAGTCTTCTTCAATGCTTGAACGAAGATTCGGAATTTTGAAAATATTTTGAAATTCCGCTATTTTAAAATGAATGCGTTTATTCATTATTTAAATGTGGGAAGCGTAAACGATCGTGCGTTCAAACAATCGAGAGTTTTAAAAGAATCTTGAAATTTTTTTAAAATGAAATACTCTATTCAAGATTTTTCATACTTGGAATATTCAAAAATAAATGTCTCTCGAGTTTCAAGATTTCAACATTCTGAAAGAAAATTTTGTTCGAAAGAAACATTTTTCCTTAGAATTCTTCGCAATCGTAAATATTTCTATTTCAAATTTATGTTCATATAAAATATTCTCCTATTCACCTATCAAACGAAACTCGATGAAAACAAGTGTAATTCCTAAAATTAACTTCTCTCAACGAAAATAAGTATCTCGATCGTATCTCGAAACGTAATCGATCAATCTAACGATCGAACCATTCAGAAATCGATCTTCCATCCAAAAGAATCAAAATTGAATAAAAACTCTCACTACTCCATTATCGTAACTACGACATCTTTCGATTCTGATCTAACAGTTAAATATATCCGTTATTCATGCCAGTCTCCCCAACAAACATCAACGTCTTCAAAAAAAAAAAAAAAAACTAATCTCCATCCAAAAACCAAGAACCGGAGGAATCTCTCCGGTTCGTCACCTCCTGTATTAGAGGCGCGCCACTAATCACCGTGGCGTGTACGATTAAAACACGTTTCTTGGATTAAAAAGCAACGAGCGTAGTACCACGTTTCGATCGAACGTCAATGTGTTCATGCCTCATAGGTATCTTTGTAAGGTGACGTCACCGACACGGACGAACGAATGGTAGGATAAAACCGGACTGACTGGTGGCGTTCTCCGAACGGTGAGGTTCGCCACACCGCGACCCACGGGGATCGGAGACGATCCCTGGTGGAAAAAGAGGAGACGAGAAATTAAGCGAGATCGCGCGTGTACAGTCAGGTTAGAATCGTGATTCCACGGTTCGTGGATTTCGCGGCCCGGAAATCGTGTGTAACCCCCTTCACCCGCCTCCTCGTGTAACAATGAGCGATGCCATTGTTGCTGTTTATGGTATTATCGGTGGCGTTATGTCAGGCTAATTACGCGTTATCTGGCAACCAAAGCGTTGCTGAGAGATTAACGAGTGGAGAACGGTAGTTACGTGTATGTTATGTACATTATTTTCTTTCCGTTTCGATTCTTTCGATATTTTTTGTTCTTGAGTTAGGTAAAAGTGCAAGGACGACGAAAATGGCCACTTTCGCCGAGCTTTCTTTCGAGATAACGAGAGAGATAGGAAGGAATTTATTTCGAACGAGATGGGAATCGGTGATTTTCGAGATGGGTTACGAAAGGAAGATGATATTACGTTTTCAAGGTAAGACGAGCTCGTGAGCAGCATACCCAAGGACAGGATGAAATCGAGGTCGAGGGAAAATCGTGACAAATCGGACGAGTTTTGGGCAATGTTGTTGCTCTGGAATATAAAAATCGAGTATAAAAAATCCATTGGAATTGAATTCGTAACACTGGAGAGAAAATGGGATACTACGATTCGTGGGATTAATGATAAAAGATAAATTTTACTTCGTTAATTAATACGAGACTCGATCTGTTTTACGTGATTTATATAAAAATTGATACGATTATAAAAAGACGGATATATGGTATAACGAGTAAGTTTCGAAAAAATATGAAAGATACTCTTATGCTATTTTATCTGATTAATTATCGGGCAATCACCTAAATCGACCCACGTTCAAGCAATGACAGCCACAACGTAAACCGCAGCAGCAACAACACTCGCGTGACACATGTCACAATCGTGTCACATCACCGGTCGATCGGTCGTAGAAGCCAGTCGACTCAAGACTGACGGATCATCCCGTTTCGAATGCCGCCCAAGTGATTTGCCGCGCATGCGCGTTGTCGAACGCACACGAACGCGACCGAGTATCGCCGATCATGCTCGAAGCCGTAGCCGATTACCCGTGACCCGCTACATTCGAAAAAACATCAATGCGATAATAAGAATCGCCCGTTCTAATTGTCGATAATTTTCGTTCCTTTGAAATACGACGAGTTTCCTTTATGTTAGGGTATAAAACACGTGTTTCCTGATTCTTGGGTAACACTTTATTTACAAACGTAAGCCATGCATGCAACGTGTATGTTTGTTATAATGGTTATGCACACTTTAACCTAAGAAATTTTGATTTTCTAATATTAATTGCGAATGAGTTAAAATAACAAGTTTCGATAATAACAAATCCAATATATTTATAACAATGTAAATAAAATCGTGTACACGTATTCGAAAGTAATTTTTGGTTCGTTATATAATTATAGGAATGTTTTTATAATTCGGGATATTTTTGATTATGCATACAATATTACTTATCAGTACTTTATAGATTGCGTTTAACAACACATTCATTTAACAGATGATAAAGTATCACGTATAAACTATCATCAGGCTATAATTAATCGGTAAAAACAATTACAGAGTAATGTATACTTTCAATAAAAGATATTACAACGTATTCGTTCATTCTTTTATAAAAAAAAAAAGGAAAATCGATCGAACCAAGTTCAACGCATACATAACGAAAAAAAAAAAAAGAAAAAGATTGCTTCAATCCAAAACATAGAAACACATAAAACACATAGAAAAACAACTAGCTTGCGTTAGGTAATGGCAAACAACGATTATCATTGACACTGTTAAGCTCGATAAAATTCTGTTGCATGGAAAAACGATCGAAGCATGCAGCTTCGTGGTTACAATTACAGTTGCAATATCCGTTTCTTCGATCACCATTTATCGAGATAGCCTCGATCGAACTCACCTTCCTCGCCGCTTCGAGGAAATCTTGGCCCTCCAAGTTTTCGTCTTTCTTCGTCGGCGACATCTCGATCCCACTGTCCTCGTGGCGTCGTCTGTATTCCTTCAAGGACAGAGCGATATCCTTTGTCGACGTGTCGACAGGGATCGTGCGCGATTCTTGATTTATTTCGCAGATCTTCGCGAATTTTACCACGCGTTCGGTGTCGTCCGTTTTCGTGGATAATTCGTCTCTGCGACTGTACGACTCCGCTGTTGAACAATATAAATTTTTATGACAAACATATTTGTTATTATAAATATTGTAGTTACATGCAAGCGTATTGTTCGCATTTTTATATCCAGATAATTTTTCACTTAAGATTGAACCTAAAATTTGTCTTCTCATCGAGAGATTTTCAAATCCAATTGAATCACTGCTATTTAAAATTCCAAAATTACGTTAAATCAAAATTGAATGATGTAAACAATTTTGAGTATAACAAAGATTAAATTATTTTTTAATGATTATAATATAATATTTCCAGTGAAACAAACAAATCAAAAGGAAACACCAGAAAAAAGAGTGAAATCAGTAAATTTAAAAGATTGAGAGATTTTAATTTGGAAAAAAATCTTAAATCCTAACCTTTAAATAAAAATTTGTTTCAACACATTCGTATTAAAGAACAGTAATTCACAATATATAAAAATTACATTGTTCTTGAATAATAAAGGAAATATCGATAATGAAGAATCTTACATTTGCTAGCAGAATCCATCTCGTAGTGCGATCCGTTCGTTTTCTCGTGAACATCCGGCAACACGATTCGTTCGAGATCCCTGATTTCCTTAACATCTACGTTTTCTCGATGATCTTGCGTGGTGTTGGATATCACCTTGTAAGACGCAATATCTAAACGAGTATCGTGAGACACTCGTAAAGTCGTCGTTTCCGTAACTTCTTTCACTATCTTCCCGGATTTCTCCTGAATCAACGAAAGATAAAACAACGCATTAAAAAAAAAAAAAGAAGAAGAACAAAATTCAATCTGCACATTTTTTTGCTACACACTTCGACTCTTTTCTCCATCGACACCAGTTTCTCAGTCTGTTTCTCCTCGTTCGTCTCCGCGACTTCCGGTTTTGGATTATCCATCAAAGGGTCGATTCTCTCTGTTCTCGAAACTTCTGTCTGTTTAAGATTAGATTCTTCGATGTTCCACCTTTGCAAATTGAAGGAAAAAATTGAAAATTGCGATACCATTGTGAAACTTATCAATTAACGAATACTATTGTTTACAATGATACGTTTCTCACCCGGTATCGCAGCAAGTACGTGCCACGGATGTTGGAGCAGCGAGGTCCTCCCATTCTGGAGACGTAACGAAAGATTCGCTCCTCGAACGAATTGTCGGAGTGATTGAACATTCGGTCGCAGTTACGTATTCGTCCATGTTCGAATCTTCGGCTAGATTATCGTCGAATGACTTTTCGATCACGTCCTGCACCCAAATCAAATGTAAATATATAAATACATCATTGCGTAAGATTATTACGTAATATAAACATCGTAGAATATCGTCCAATATTTTAAGACTTAGACGAAGCGGAAAATATTTCTTTTTATTCTTTTCCTCCTTTTCGTTACATGAATTGTATTAGCTATCATTTTATATTTATATCTTGATCTTTCTGATCAAGCAAAAAACACGTGTCTTTGTACTCTTCGTTATGCTATTATATAATATTTTGTATTTAATTCATTCTCTACTTTTCACAATTGCTGTAAAAATGATTGGAAGTATATCTATCTATGAAATTTATATATTTATATTAATACTATTTTATCTATAAAAATAAGATTAAACTATTACAATTAGATTGTTACTAATAACTTCTCGATCCATTTTTAATATTTTAATATTTTACAATCTGTTTCGAAAATTCCACTAAAGTATTCTTCATTGAGAAGGACCACCACATCATCACCAGACTGCGTCTTTACAACGCTGCTATAAAATAAATTTCAAAAAGGAAGAAACAGAAGGTATACATCTCTACAATAAATTAAATTTCACTCACCTCCGCGACTTCTTCCTTCAACTTCTCATCAATCATCCCGCTCAAATCGTCCTGCCTACATTCTTCCCCTGTTCCAGCCTTCTCCTCAGCCTTGCTCTCCATCCTTTCACCACCAACACCCGTGCCGTTCTCCACCGATTCCTTGGTCGTGCATTCCTTGCCAACGTTCTCGTTGCTCGTCGCCGAGGAGAGTATCGTGGACACGCATTTCGGCTGAAGCTGCACCGTCGAGGAAGTGATCAACGGCGCGGTAATCCCGATCGACGAAGTTGTGAGCGCAGAAATCGGGTGGGTTTGACTCGAGGGGGGCGCGTTCGAGGACGAGAGGAGGGAGGAGGTGGAGGAGGACACAGCGGACGACGACATTGGAACTGGACGAGTCCTGGCCCCAGCCTCGCAAAGTTTCGCGTCCAACTTCTCGGCGAGGCGAGTCACTTCCGCCAACCTCGCCGAGATCGCCTCCACCGCTGTCAGGTTACTGCCTTTGCCCGAGGAGGCATCCTCGGCTTCGGACATTCTAGAAAAAATAAATTTTCCTCGTTCAGGCTATTAATAAACTTTTTCTGGAGTCGTCGACTCTGAGCTACCTCGACTCTAAAAGAAGTGAAAGAAGATTCGAGGATCAGCAATCATTTCGTTATTATTGGATTAATTGAACGTTTGCGGATATTTCGATGGAATGCGAGATATATCGTTGGAAGAATTATTATCGAAACGTGATAAATCTTGTTAGAAATTATTGGGATTGTAGATTTTAAAAATTAGGATTATAATAAATTGAATGAGATATATAATCTTGGAGGATATTGTGTAAAATATTCTGAAACTTCCGAGATGAAGTATATAAGATGTGTGATGATTTTCTATCGATCGAATTGATGGAATATAGAGAGTTTATCGTTTGCTGTTATTTTTAATTTTGTTTATGTTATGTCTTTACAGAAATACATATAAGGGATGTATTTATATTGGAATAATACGTGAAGTGAGAGATAATATTAAAAGCAAAAATAAAACTGGCACGTTTTAAGAAAGTTATACTTTTAACAGCCTGTTAAGCTACCATTTTACGACCGTGTTTCTTTTCTTAACTCAATCTAAAACTTGAACCAAGCTCGCCTGTTCTTTCATCATTATACAGTATAGAATAAAACCTATTCTTTTATTCACTTTTACTAAAAAAAAAAAAAGAAAGAAAAAAGAATTTGATTTTCTTCAATCGTGTTATACATTTAATGATATTAGAAATTAATTCATCAACTTGTTTCTAGCGTGCTAAATAATGCATCATCTCCGATTATGTCCAGTTACGTAATACAAACAAACAAATAGTCAACATGCATCAAAATATGCGCGTATCAATATGACCGATCAATCTCGTTTCACTTGATCGCAATAAGAAAATACAATCGGTGCCAAATCTCTTATTCGCGATGCATCGACACGCACAATGCATCGGCAAAATTAGCGTGGAGAAAACGTCAAAATTTCTAAGGAATTACGTAATCGACAGTGACAGCGCCACGACGAATGGTCGAAGACCAGATGGTGGCTTCAATGTGGGGCGAAGTTCTAATTTCGGTGAACCAAGAGCCGGCGAATCTGCAAAGCGTCACTTTTAAGCGGTATTTTCAATCTTTGCCGCCGAACCAATTTTCCAATCAATTTATTATTAAATTATAGAGTGGAACTTTTCCTTTTCTTCAAGGATAACGTACAATAAATAATTCGATGCACAACATATTGCGATAAGATAGAGAGTTGCAATGGAAAAGTTTTAAAGAAAATTTAAAACTCAAAATAAATTGAAAATATCTTGCAAAATATTTAATTCATGGAAAGATGCATCAACTTTTCTTTCGATTTATGCAAAAATTCAATGCATTAACGCGCCAAGGAATATTCAATGAAAAAGAACATTGTATCGACATTAAGAAACAAAGTAATTTTTATTTCAATTTTTAATTTCTCTCTCTCCAATGAAATAAGGAAAATAAAACAGAAACTTTGAAACAGTAATTCTAAATTTTTTTTTAAAATTCAAGCTTGGCACATCGAGAGAATAACAGTGTGATCGAATAAAGAAAGAGAAAAAAATCTCGAAATGATGATAATCCTTATAAAATTACGTGAAACAGATTCGAAGATTTCGAAGAGCCAAAAATAATCGACTCGAAGATCGAAGCTCGATTCTGCTCCCGATCGACGTTTCGAAGTTCGTGGACCGCGGCCAACCGCGTTTCACTGACAATCTCTTGAGTTGAACCGCGCACGTGCGCGAACGAGAACATCGGTGCCAAATCTCTTATTCGCGATGCATCGACACGCACAATGCATCGGCAAAATTAGCGTGGAGAAAACGTCAAAATTTCTAAGGAATTACGTAATCGACAGTGACAGCGCCACGACGAATGGTCGAAGACCAGATGGTGGCTTCAATGTGGGGCGAAGTTCTAATTTCGGTGAACCAAGAGCCGGCGAATCTGCAAAGCGTCACTTTTAAGCGGTATTTTCAATCTTTGCCGCCGAACCAATTTTCCAATCAATTTATTATTAAATTATAGAGTGGAACTTTTCCTTTTCTTCAAGGATAACGTACAATAAATAATTCGATGCACAACATATTGCGATAAGATAGAGAGTTGCAATGGAAAAGTTTTAAAGAAAATTTAAAACTCAAAATAAATTGAAAATATCTTGCAAAATATTTAATTCATGGAAAGATGCATCAACTTTTCTTTCGATTTATGCAAAAATTCAATGCATTAACGCGCCAAGGAATATTCAATGAAAAAGAAACATTGTATCGACATTAAGAAACAAAGTAATTTTTATTTCAATTTTTAATTTCTCTCTCTCCAATGAAATAAGGAAAATAAAACAGAAACTTTGAAACAGTAATTCTAAATTTTTTTTTAAAATTCAAGCTTGGCACATCGAGAGAATAACAGTGTGATCGAATAAAGAAAGAGAAAAAAATCTCGAAATGATGATAATCCTTATAAAATTACGTGAAACAGATTCGAAGATTTCGAAGAGCCAAAAATAATCGACTCGAAGATCGAAGCTCGATTCTGCTCCCGATCGACGTTTCGAAGTTCGTGGACCGCGGCCAACCGCGTTTCACTGACAATCTCTTGAGTTGAACCGCGCACGTGCGCGAAACGAGAAACATTGGAGAAACGTTGGAGAACGGCGGCCGCCCTTGCTTGAAAACAATTTTCAACCGATAGTTAAGTAACAAAAGGTGGAGGAAAATAAGGGTTCTCGTTTCGGAACGAGATTTGTTTGTTTTGGCAGGATGCCGGCACGATTGCATTTTCCAGCGATCGGAATCTCTCTCCTCTCGCGCGTCTTCTCGAAACGAATTCGTGAATATTCGAAACGGTCTACGAGTTACAATTTCTTGGCCCTGACCACAAACTCCTCCGTGTGGGTGAAAATAGGACGTATTCGTGTATCTGCACACGCAACTGACCCATATTTAACATGTGGACGAAGCTCGAATGAATTGCATATTTGTATGAAATTTCGACAAGATAGAAATAGTGGAGGAAGAAATATAATAAAGATCGATTCGTTGAAATCGATCTTTTTTTCTTACGAATACGAAAGTCACGTGAATTAGAGATCCTTTTTTTATCTCAACAGGAAAAAGATATTTCTCTATCTATGGTTTTGCATCGATTACACGAGTAATATATCAAATTCGTTTCAAAAATCGTGTAACAATAATAAATATTTGTTTTCCACTTATTATTTCTTCGTGGCTCGCTCCGGCCGGATTCCTCCAACTGGGCGCCACAATTATTTACACGTTCGCAGCCAGAAAAACACGACGATCAACGTGCCATCAGCCATTTTGGATTTTCTTATCGTTTTACAACTTATCGAAAATCGAGATCTCTTAGATTTGTTTCGTTGTCAAACGAATCAACAATCCCATCCCATTATTTAATAATTTCACAACCGAAAAGTGGAATGTCTGTCGTTGACACGAGATTACTTGGAAAAAAGGTGGAAATTTTATCGGTATTAATTATTCGATTCGTTTCATAACGATCGAGTTGGAATCAATCGAGTCTCGACCTCGAATTGGTACACGGTTCTAGGAACCCAGATCGAGAGCAGGCCGCGTTTATATCGTATTTCGAAACTGACTTACATGCAGCGATATCAAGGTGTAGGTATCTGGTCGACGTGCAGCCATGGACTGACACACCGCCTCCGTTAAAAACGGAGGTGGCCGTCCACGTTACACACAGTGCCCTCCTCGCCTCTTATATTATATGCTCTCGATCTTTCTCTCGACAACTCCGCCTCGAACTCTTATCCTGCTCTTGCGATGCTCGACCGAGGTGCGCGCTGTTTTATCGCCCGATTGCACCACATATAATGGCGGAGGAAACGCCAAGGACGCGTTAGAGGAAGCTTGGAAGCTTGGAAACCTTGCCAGAAGTGGGTTCGATAAAAGTGGGTTAGGGCGGTTTCCTCAACGATATTGTTTTTAAATTTTAACAGCTAGAGAATTATTGAGAAAATGTATGAGTATTCAATATGGAATTGATAATGGAATTTTTTACAAAAAGATCAATGGCGATTGGAAGAAAATCACTTTGTATTAAAGAATCTGATTGGTAAACACAAACGCTCATAATTGTAGTAATAAAACTTTGAATTTATTATATAAATAGATATCGTTGTACTGTTCAACACGAATTGAGTCCAGTGATCTGTCTACGAAACAGATCGAAATTGCTGTCTATATTTGTATTCCCAAACATTTACAACATCATAATGGGGTTATCTCTGCGATTAAGATATTTAAGTGACCAGGATACAAATTTCAAAGTCCAATAGGATTCCCTTGCAAGCTTATATCATAAAATATTATTGTGACCGATCGTTGTAATGCAATAAAAAAAAAAAGAAGAATATTTTTTATCTACTAATTTTTATTCTCGAACAAGAACCCATCTCTTTCGAAATAATCGCCGTCGTACTTGCCGTTGATGACAGAGTGGCTCCTTCAGCCGAGTCCTCAACAGTCGACCCAGCCTCACCATTCGACCGACTTCGAGGAGGAGCTTCTCGCGATTGCCCAGGATGTTCCTTATCTCGGCCTTGGCTCGCGCCTCCGCGGCTAGATCCTCGAGTCTCAATGACCGACGCAGAGATACCACGGTCTCTATTAAGTCGTGCAGCTTGGAACAGTGCTTGAAGAAGAAGAAGAAGAAGAACACGTTGGAGATTTGAGAAAATGGAAGCGAGGGGCTTGTTATAAAATGAAAATTTAAAGTTTCGGATTTAAATTTCTAAATGACGGTCACCGTGCGTACATCTTCGACGCTTCTATGGAAAACGGCGCACACTCTCAGTCTGGTTAATTGTTCTTGGCCAACGGATCGTAGCCGTTTCCAAGCCTGTCGCAGCCTTGAGAACAGAATCGCGTTACTTTCCAGTGGCAGTCTGCACGATAACCTTAACACTCGTGCACCATTCACCAATTGGCAACCGTAGTCGTACGTTCCCTGGAACACGTTCAAAGGATACGCGCGTGACTTTAATTCAACCACTTCGTACAATTTTTCAATTTGTAAATAAATAAAAAGTCGAGAATCTAATAATAGCTGTATATTTTCTGAGATATGATATCATAAATGCATCGATTTTAATTTTTAAATTAATTTCAATCATGAATTTATATTTATTATTTGATTCCTCACCTTGGCAGTTTCTTGAAACGATTGATGTTCCTCTTTCTGCGACTGTATCTCGATCGCGTTGCAACCGATCTCCATATGATTTTTCAATAAAACATTGTACAAATCGTTCAACCATTTTACAGCCTGAAAGTTGGAGAAAAAGAATTTTTTTTATATAATACGTACATCGTCGAGGTAGAAATATTTTATTACAACAATAATTGTTCTAATATTTCGTTCACCTGTTCGCCATCGTTTTCGTAAGTGTATATCAACGCTGTCTGCTTTAGGGAGAGCTTCTGCAGCTCGACGCTGTCATTGAAAATATTCTTCCTGGCGTTCGTCGCATCCAAAATATCTCTGACATTGACTATATCTTCGCCATAGTCAACATGCACATCGCGTCCAAGCGCGTCCTTCACTGGCATCGACAAAATGTCCGATAATTTTTCACCTTCTTTTACCAACTCGCGTTCCAAAGATTCTAAAATAAATCATCGTATATGTCTCTTCTATCTGTTATTATATTCAATGATTGTCCAATATTTTTACCTCCACTTTCGAGCAAAAATTAAAAAAGAAAAAAGAAATATACGAAAGAGAAAACGATTCATTTCTTTTTGGAAATTAGACAGAGATGAATTTTAGAAATTTAATAATTATGAAAGTCACTAACTATTATGCACAATAGAAATTATTTACCCAAGATTCCTTGGCTCTGTTGCAATTTCAAGAGATTGGCTCCAGCTTGTGAAAAATCGTGAGTTCTGTTGCCCATCACTAATTTATCGAAGACCTCGCTCGTTTTGTCAAAGTACTGAAAATAACGAATAATAGGAGGTATAATAATATTTCTCTTCATTGTCCAACAGCGACATAATACCTCGGAAACTAGTCTGAAAAATCTTTGCGAAGTGATTAACACGTTTCGCCGTCTCTCGAGCCTGTTTGCAAAGCTTCTGCACACGAAATCCATGAAATCCTTCTGAGATTTCAAATCCTCGGATAGACGCGTGCTTGGTAAACTGTCGATCTTGTGAAGCAGTTCCGCGTATCGTCCATAAGTTTCCTAAAAATTGAAATTAACGTTTTCATTTTCATTTCTCGCTCAATCGAAAAATTGTTTTCAACCCGAGATAATTTTCGATTTAAACTTTATTTAACAAAATCTTCGAATCTTCTTTCACAGAAAAGTTTGGCATATTGTAATTAAAAATTTGCAAATATTTACAAGGTTTTTTTTATAATTTATAAATCCTCAAATATCGGTGAATAATTGAATGATTGAAAATATAACAGGATTAATTAGTTGAATTTATGAATTTGATTCAATATAATGAAATCGTGGAATATAAATGGAACAAATATAACGAATATGCAAGATAAAATTATATAGAAGAAAAGAAGGAAGAAGAAATTAATAATAATTCCAATTTTATTTCTACATATTTAAAAGTAATCGAAATGATTAGAAAGTTGAATGAAAAATACAAATACAGAAAATACGGAATAAAATAATAAAAACGTTAATTGTTAATTAATAAAATTGTTTAATTTATAGAAAGTAAGAAAATTTGAAACTGAACACTAGAATGAATATTGAACAAAATCGAAAAATTCTATTATTCGAAGTCATCTCTTGCTTTGATTTGGATAGTAGAGATTTCAAATAATTTGAATGATCAATATTTTTTACTTTTATCTTTTATATATCGATTTTACCCTGCATTCTAATTCGAGTTCCTCGTGACGTCTGCGAAGTTCTTCCGAGGAAGAGACGTCAAATCCAACCTGGCAACAAGAGTTCAACATGGCGTCAGCTGGTCCCAAGATCCAATCTGTAACACGTGACACACCTTTTTCGAGATCACCAATCACCCTGGCTGTATCCAAATTCTTCTCCATTTCTGACCAAGAATTTTCTATGTCCAACTGAAAAATACAAAACTTGTTTAATCATCTTTGAAAATAAATCTTTGTTCTTTTTTTTTTTCCTTTTGCTTTTCATTTCCTCGTTGTTTCGAAAACGATACCTTCTTCAGTTCGATGGAGTCGATAAGCTCGTGAATTCTTTTTGTACTGTCCAATGTATCTTTCGAAGATTCTCTGGCCATCGAACCGACTAAATTTCTTCCTAAAATCATAATATGCATGATCTTAATTCCCTATCTGGAAAAATTTCTTCGATTAATTTAAAATAGAAATTAAATTGTTAAAAAATGTGTGATGATTATAAAGTTTGCATTGCGTTTGATCATGTTTCTTTTTTTCCTTTCTTTTTACAAATAAATCTATTTGCTAGAATCATTTTTAAAAAATTATTCAAATTATCAGAAAAATTATTTGAAAATTAAAAATATTTCAAACTTTTTAATTTTCAAATAATTTAAAAAGAATGAAATTTCCCCTTCTAATTAATTATCCTATAATTAAAATTGTTCAGCTTTATACTCAAATAATATAACAGAATTATCATTTGTATTATTTGCTTGGATGCAAAAATAAGTACAATAAGATTCATTGTGAAACTGTCTACTACTATTAATACTACTAATAATTCATTATATTAAAATATTAAAATCCAAATTCCTCGAAATGATCGTCAAGTAATATTAAATAAAATCTCTTTCTATCGCATCTTACAGATATATTTTATCAAAATTCACTTATTCGTTTATTCGTCTCGATTCACCTAAAAATACGATGATATAATACAACAATATACACAACACAGAAAACAATTATTTATTTCTGCATATAAGTTCTGCCATAAAACCCTCTTTCAATAATCTTCACGAAAGAGATACATAATAAGATTCCTATCTTATAGCGGTATCCTATGCCAGAAAAACGACAAAGAAGTAAGAGATAAAAACGTAAACAACACGAGCCCGGCATTGTCAGTGTTTTTACACTCTTGCGCGATCCATCGAGCACGCGACTCGATTCCAAAGAAATCCTGTCCAACATCCGGTTAAGCCGGTTTTTCAATTTTTCCGGCCAATCTATCCATATCCGAGTGTCGATCCTTCTGCACAACTGGTTGATTGTATCGTAGGCCAGGAAATAGATGTTCGAGCGATCGATAACGATGACACACGAGTCAACCTTTGAGTGACTGGCATGAATGGGATTTTTCGATCGATAATGGAATTATTTGGATTCGTGATTGAACTTTCGATCATTCTGTTAAAATTTCTTTTAAAGAATTTTTCTGGTGACAGATGTCTCTGTACTGCAATCTTACTCGTTTTCACATTGTTTCTTCTAATGTGTATTTGAAATGTTTGTGATTTAATAAATAAAACCGATAATATTTTTGTATAATAATTTTTGTGCTTGATTTAGCTCCTAGAATTGATCCTCTAAAAATGTCGAATATATAAAAAAATCACTGATAATTGTAGTTAAAAGGAGGAAATTATTGAAAAGAAATCTATTAAAATTTTTATTGCAATTAATTGATTAAATTAAATTATATATCCATGATCCTCGATCCGACATTCTTTCTTTTGAATAATTCAAATAAACCATTTATATTATCGCATTGTGCGTAATCTTAACTCACCTGACTGAAGAATGTGTCGTGCATGAGCTGTCAATTCGTTGCTCATCCCCCAATAAGATTCCAAATCGTCGTCCGACTCTGACATTCGAAATCCGTCCAAACTGATCAGTCTTCGGTGTAAATCTGCCATTTTAGCGATGAGATCGGACGCATCCTTGGCGTAGTCCTCCACTTTCTGTGAAATCGACACAGAGAACGTGTGATAGGAAGGAAAGGATAGTGAAAGCGTTATAGAACTTCCGTTTCTTCACAAGAAACTTATTAATACAATGGCTGCAAAAAGTAGTTGTATACCGATTAATTAATAAGCTACAACCAATTTCTATAATCACATTCGGTTAAAATCTATATTTACATAAAATTAAACAACAGAAAAATTCAATATCACATTCCACTACGTATATTTACTTTCATTATTAATATCATATATTGTTATATTATCTTACATCTGTGCAAAAGAAAATAAATGAACTGTGTGACCAATTTCTATCATAGAAAACCCTCCATTCACCGAATCAAATATTCTAAATTTATGTTACGTTATAATTATCCAACACTCTTAATGGTTAATACTACCAATACCATCCTCACTATATATATATATTTTGTTTACTTAATACAGCTACAATCACCATGACACCATTCACACCACAAAATAAGATTCCAAAGATTTAACACGGATACAACACGGAAAGATCGATGAGACGATTACCACGCGCTTCTGGATCCAATCCACGTGATCGTAAAATTTGTTGCCACCCAGCTCGTACGGCAGCTGTGCGAAATCGACGTGGAGATGGAGCCTCGTCAGGGTGAGGTACGTCGGCTGAAACAACAACTAATTAATTCACGTGTATACGTGTTCACGCTTGCAATTGAACCCATCGTGCATTTTTGTCACGATTTTAACAGGTAAGCGTGAATATTTCACGCGATAACATGTGCCTCGAATCGACCAAGCACCGCGACTCTTGTCGAGGATTGATTAAACGGTTGGAAGGAAAACTAGTTTGTCGGCTGGTATACACAGTCGATAGAAAAATCGTGAATTGTTCAACCTTCGAGTAAAATTAGAAACGTTCCATTTCAATGGCGTTTCAATGTATCTTCATATCAGATAATACGCGTGACGTGTTTATAATGCCGTACGATTTCTTTGCGTGGCTCGATCGATTTATAATAGTGGCTTCTTAACATTTTGGATTTTCGAAGAAATTTATGCGAACAGATAAATGGATTCTGGATTTTTTTTATGCGGATTACATGATGGAAATATGTTCTTTTTTTTTTTTTTTTCTGTTTCGCATATATTATTTGAACAACCTCGAATTAGATATTTTTCTTCTTATGCTGATTTATATATTCGTATGATAATTTAAGAATACATTTGAATGTAAATTGTGAATGTAAATAATTCAAATATTATGTAATGAAAATAAATAATATATTCTTTGCACGTTTCGATGATGCATCGAAATTCATAATCCGATCGTAAAATTATGAATGAAAATGTACATGAGAAATATGTATATATCTGCACGAATATTCCTCTTGGCAAGAATCGTAGCAATATCCTAGCCGCTTTCGTGATTTCACGGAACACTTGTAACGAGTTACGTTTACTCTGGTATTGTGACAGGTTCGCGGAATACCGATGTTCCAAGGAATACCAATTAAGAATCACTAGTTTAGTTATCTCGAGAGTAACTTGCAATTGAATCGAAAAATATTTAATATCAATCCATGTAACTTTTAATTCCATTCGCAACATTTATCGACGAATCAAATTTCGCAAAATAATTTTATCAATTATGAATAACAAATTGTGTGATGATGTGCATAAAATTTAACGTATTCGTGAAACGAGTTTTCAGAGGGTCGACTTTATGAAGTGATAGATGCAACAAACCTCTCCTTCTTTGTGCGATTTAGTGCAACTGTCCACCCTCTTGTCCCAGAAGCCATCAGGGCGCACCACGATGACGGATGCCACGGATGCTCCCAGAAGCACAGTAGACAACCTGATGCAAGACCTTGCCACCCTCCATGCACCCTTTCTCGCGTCCACTATCAAGACCAATCCATTCCTCTTCGTCTCCTCGCTATACCGTGAAAACAAAGTGTCATTTGCATTCAATTATGCAAAACGTCATCACATCTGACAAAGTTTAGAATCATAATAAGGATATCGATATGTGTTAGATCACAGAAGTTAATTTCTTCGTGGCTTTTTATGAAGTAAAAATAAATCATACAAGTTACTTTTCAATACAATATTTGAATATCAAATGAAGTTGAACGGATTGATTTAATGGATGAGAATCGAATAAAGTTAGGTTAAAGTAATTTGCATGGATTTTTTTTTCTAATTTCATGGAATGAATAAAAATATAATTTTATATTTTTTGTTCTCGAGTTTATTACTTTTTTACCAATCGATGCTGATAGCGATACACCGTTGGAATAAATCACAATATATTACTCCATTCGTATCTTACAAAAAAAAATGCAAATTTTTAAATCAAACTTATATAAAGATTTAATGTAAAAATACTAAATTAAATTAAGACTTTTTAGAATTGATAAACGTTATAATAAAATATTCGTATCCTAACTCCAAAAAAAAAATAAAAAAATAAATAGTTACCTAAAAATGGACAAAAAATAGGCGATCAATACTTCCAACCTTGGCTTCGTGGTCGGTTGAAGTTCTGAGGGAACATTGACCACCATCAAAGGTCTTCCTTCCCGATCACGTCCTCCTGGAATGTACGCGAGCTTCGATTCGAGGGCTTCTAAAATATCCACTACCTCCAGATTCCTCGTGGGCATGGCTGAATCTCTTACTTCATCGTACTTCAATTTTCGATTAATTACATCGAGGAAATAATATCTCTTTATATATCCAACGTTATATAACGTTACATAACAGGCCAACCAAAAATATCAAAATATAAAAGTCGATATCAACGATTCTTTCGAAAACTAAAAGTCATCATCGTTCGATATGCTTTTTCGATTTGCATCGTATTTCTACGAGTTTAACTTTCTTGTGCATACAAAAGTAACGATATCAAGCACCCTTGTTTTTTTTTTTTTTTTCACGAAAAACATATCGTCCAATCCTCGATCGATTGAATCCCATCCAATTTGCATTCCAGCTCAGAATGGGAGACGCCTCGAAAATCGAACTCGATTCGATCATCAACGAGACGAATATATATATATTTTTTTTCTTTTTCTATCGAGGATAAACTCGCACACAACAATTACATCAAGGATTCTCGTAATTTATGGAAAGTGGAGCATCGTGTAACACGTAACGCGAGACACACACGTATCGGCCGGGTGAACGATCGATTTCACAAACGATCGACGGAATTGTGTTACGCGCGATCAGATTCGTTGACTGCGTAAAAAAAAAAAAAAAAAAAAGAAAAAGGGCAGCACCTCGCGGTTTGCATACCGCGGCATGCGTTCACAGTAACGCGATCCTGATTTATCTCGCCTGTCGAGGAGACATTTTGTTGCCTCCCCCTCCCCGCAGGATTAATAGTGCGTCTCGAATAGTGCGTCTCGAGCAATTTGCATGCTCGAAGAAGCATAGAGCACAGTGAAAGTTGGAACGTGGTTCGAACCTTCTCCTTCCTCCTTCGAAACCTTGACCAACGGATCCTCGGCTTACATATCGCAGATTCGTCGCTCGAACTCGTCGATCGAAGGAAAAAAAAAAAAAAGAAAGAAAACGTGAGCGGGCAAAAATTAAAAATTCAAATCGAGCGGGTAGATAAAAATATCGAACGATGAAAAAACTTTTCGAGCCGATCCGCGCCACGATAACGCGCCGATCGAGGAACGATAAAGGTTCGACTCGAGACCATTTCAAAACCGGTCACGTATCCGTCACCTTACGAAACAGCGACCACAAGTCCTTCACTTTTATCCTCCACGTTCAAAATTCGAAAACTCACTCACAAACACCTCGAAATTGTTTCATCCATCGCCGTCCTTCTTCTTGGTAACGCAAACACCTTCAAACACGACCAATATTTCCAATATTTTCGAATCGAGGGAAGACGAACAGTCTCAGTGGCTACTGACTCGTGTTTACAGGCGAGTCGGCCAAACGTGGCAGCTGTTGTCCCAGGTGCAGGTGCACGTGGTTGCCAACCCTCGGTGTAAAAACGGAAAAATGGTTCGCTCGATTCGGGGAGAGGAAAAATCGTGGCGCGCGTCACAGTGTACACGCGCGGCAGTCACGTGTTCCGGTTGTCGAAGTCACTGGTCGAAGAGAGCGGAGCTGCAGCTGCGACGGAGGCTGCAGGGAAACCGAAAGCCATCTCGCTGCTCCATTCAGGTACAACGGTACTCTGGCACCGATTAACCGTCTTCCCCTTCTCCTTTCTCTTCCTCCTGCTCTTCCGTCTCTTTTTCCCGCCTCGACGACCTCTTTCTCCGCGTCCTCTTTTGTATTCCTCCCGTCGAGCAGGCCGCGAAAATGCCGGGTGAAACAGGAAAAAATGGCTAATCCTTTGTAAATTTTATTGGACGTACGGGATCGGGTTTCGGAATTAGGCGTGCGGTTGAATGGCAGTGGAATTTCTGAAGGTTGAACGTGGTTTGGAGGTTCGTTTCGTTTGATTTGGTTTGACGCTGTGGTTCACGAATGTGCTTTTCGAAGTGTTTTATATATATATGGAGCTATATTTTTTCTTTTTTTTTTTTTAGAAGAAAAGAAGTTTCTCTGAGAGGGAGAAAATTTTTTTTAAAGGGGTGGAAGTTTATTCTCAAAGCATCCAGGTATTTTTACAAGAAAATGATAGAATATTTGTTGGAAGAGGAAAGGATAGATTAGTTCTTCGTGAATTTTATTGCACGAGATCAGATTTTAAATTATAACTGATTGGAAAAGTTCTGAAATGATCGAGATTTGGGGATGTTTTGATTTGTTTGATTTGATTTAATGGTTTGTTTTCGTATTTGGTAACTAAACTATTTGAATATTGTTTTACAGAAGAAGTTTGTATATGTAAAATATAATGGATTGTATAATAAGGAGAGAAAGAAAATTTTAATCTCTTCGTGTTTTGAATACACGAGTTTGAAAAAATTTATTATAAGAAAAAGATAGAATACTAAAATTTGAATATTCTATAATTTTAGAAAAAGGAACATTAAAAATTTAAAGATTCAACATAGCCATCATATTGATGGCTTATTATACAAATAATTTATGTCCATTTTTTATTGAAATTTGAATTTTTATACGCAACAAAAAGTTGATTTGATTTTTCTTTATTCCGTATAAAAATCTCATTACTTTATAAATTTGTTAAAAGAATAATATTTTGGTTTATTTTATGTTCTTGAATTAATACAACATTTGCATAATCTATCGACACGTACTGAAGGATTTTTAATTTTTAATTTCATCCTAATAATAAATAATTATTCGTTTAAAAGTTGAAATAAAAACTTCATTTGTATTATTAATAATTTTTATTTAAATTTCTAAAAATTTTTTCTACTTCCTTCTCTATCGAGAAGTCAAAGGAAGATGAAGATCATGACGTTCGCAAAAAAAAAAAAACATCGTAAGCGATGAAATCACCACTATCCAAGTGACGATATGTTTCTCACAGTCGCGGAGAAGAATATTTCTTCGCAACGTGATTTATAGACGCGATTAACCTCTCCTACTAAGGTCACGTTACTAAAATATTTCCACTTCCAGACAAAATCACGAATACCTCCGGATCTATTGTGTATTTGATGAAACTTAAAAACTTAAAACTAAAAAAAAAAAAACAAAGTAAATGAACATCTACCATTTATTAATAATTAATTATTATATCCGTAAAAATATTAATTAAATAGTTAAATCAACCAAATATAGAAGTGACTCAATATCTTATTGCTTAAAATAATGAAATAATCGTAAAAATAAATTAATTTTCAATTAATAATGACAAACGACAAAAAGAAAAATTGTGATTTACCAAAATTAAAATAATCGTCGTCTTCAATAAAACGATTATATTCAAGTCACGACTGATTGAAATTTTATCAATTTGCGAATTGGGCACAAGGATAAATCAATTTTCTTTAATATTGATTTCAACGATTTTTTAACTTGAAGAAATTAATTTTTTTTTTTTATTCATCTTTGTTTACAGGTACGAGATACCACATGGCCTCTCGATACCTACTTTGAGGCATGCAAAATGACCACGAAGGACGATCAAGGCTTGTTCCCATATTCAGTACGAAACCTCAAATTCTTTCGACGTTATAAAGAGAAGCATGTACATCGATACTTAACTATATATCGTAAGACATGGATATCCCTATACACTGTTCATCAATTTTAATTCTCGCTTCTTCCTCTCAGAATTTTTTTAATAAAAATCAATATTTATTGAAAATTTGCGAAGAAAGAAAGAGAAGAAAATGAAAGGTAAATTTTTTTAATAACAATTATATTTTACACAACATAATAATCGAAATGACTAATTGTATAAAGAAGAAATGAAAAATATATAAAAATATATAATCAGAATTTTATGTTTCACGAAAAGGAAGTAATTAAAAATTGCCTTAAACGACGATAATACGAATATTACATTACAGAATGATTAAAGCTATACTAATCGTGAAAGGAGAACAAAAAAAAAAAAATAATAATCAGAATTTCATGTTTCAGAAAAAGGAAGTAATTAAAGATATCTTCTAAATAGCGATAATACTATTTTACATCGCAGAATGATTGAAATTACGATTCATTTTCACGCAGAAGATAAAAATGATAAAAAATGATAGAAGTAATTATATAGTCTCGTGTATTACTTTGCGAGATAATTAATATTATGAACGGAAGATGAATGAATATATTCTCGTTATTTCACGTTGTTCCTTCATTTGAAATCGTTTAGCAATTAATGCATAATGCAAAAGTATCATATCTGTTTGATAGCTCGCGCGAGCTGCAAGGTCGGTGACCGGCGTTGACCAAATACCGTGAAAAGCAAGGTGTGCCTTAGTAAATATAAGCATATGATACATTCCAGTGGGAGTATCGGAGAAAACGAGAGATCAGATCGTTGGAAGCAGGAATATCTGATGGTGATGACATCACAATCTCGTTCATCTTTGGACGACATCCGGTTGGATCGTTCATTAATTTGGAAATATTTCGATACACCATTTTTCTTACGTCGTTGAAAATTTATTTACAATATATTCTTTTGAAATATTTTATTAATCAAATCTAAATTAATTTTGAAGACTCTAAATTAATTTTACACTTTTTTTATGCCACCATTAAACAGCGATTTATTCTTTGAAGAAATCCTTCTTCATGCATGCTCCTCTAATCAGATTTTATTTAGCTACGATGCATTTGGAAATTAATTTCCAAATCTAATAGAATATGCTTCGAGACGAATTGTAATCTTCGTCCTCACCACTCATTCGATTCGATAAACAAACTTTTCATTCTGCAAAAGCAAATAAACTGTACTTTCTACTTGTAATAAGAAATTTATTCACACAAATAGCATTACAATCTTCAACAAACAACATTGCTTCCTCTTTAACTCTCTTATTCCGCATGAGGTGTCAGCAACGGTCCGTTCCAACCGCCATCTTCCCAACTCACTTACATAACCTCAAACAACAACATTTGAAACAAAGTTAAATTTCAATCATCCCGGGCGCAAAATCAACGACAGACGGGCGGACAGACACGTTTTCTTCACTACGTCTACGTGTATTTCGTGAAATTTAGGAAGCGCGCCCGTTCGAGGCGGGACGAAAGCGAGCGAGAGACAAAGATAGCTCGACAAGAGGAAGCCCAAAGAGGCTGGCGTCGCCACGGTCGTCGGCCACGAAGAGGTCCGCCAGTACTGCACCGAGCCTCGTGCTATATCGAGCCGAACACGCTCTTTCTCTTTCTCTCTCTCTCTCCCCTTATTTATCTCTCTCTCTCTCTGTCTCTCTTTCTCTCTCCCTCTTTCTCTGTTTCGACTTCGGTTCAGCCATCGTCGAAGACAGTTCGCCGTGGATACACCTCGAGGCTTTCCTCCGATCGATCCATAAGATCCGGTGATCGATGAGGATATTTCGAAGCTCGATGATCGCGGAACGGTGGAAAAGGTGGCCAGCAACGGAGTGATCGTCGAGCGAGGCTCGACGTGGAAGAGGAAGAGGAGGAACGATCATGGGCAACGCCACCACGAAGAGCCACTACTCGAAGAGCCAGCCTCTGACCGCCACCAGGAGGCCACGTTGGGAGGGATCAGGTAGAGACACACACACACACACACACACACACACACTGTATTTTCGTTCTGCTCGTTACGCGTCGTTCGACGCTTGGACGCATCTCGATCCCGAGGGATGATCAGGGCTCAATGCGTCACCCGGGATTGACTGTCGATCGCCATCTTGATCGAGGCTTCGATTCTCTTACTCTCTTCGTCAAAGTTTCGCGCGAATATACAGAACTGTATAGAACTGTATATCTCGTATATTTGTTTCGCCTCGAGAGAAGGGGATTTTATTTCGATTTAAATTTTCTAGATAATATTGGGATCGAAAGAAACGTGGCTTCGTTGAAGAACGAAGGGGTGACGGAGGAGACATGATGATCGTAGGGCGCGTCTCTGGTGACACAGAGTTTCCGGTATAAAGATGCTTCTTTCGTGGCTGTCTCTTGATTGGCTTGACTCGATAGTGGGATGATATCTAAAATTAGGCTGCTTCTGCCGACGTATCTATCAAGCCCGCGCAACGTTTGAGTGATCGTTAATGGATGGGGAATTGGGGTGATCGGCAAGTTCATTGGGTCAGTGGGATTCTCGTTCCTCTAGCAGAGTTGGATTGTTGTGGGCGAAGATCGAGTTATTAAATCGGGAATGGAATTGGAACGATCACGTTGGAAATTTTCGTGGTGGTACAGTCAATGAGGGACTGTATTTCTGTCAGTGAAAGATGGTTCTATGGTTTATTCGAGGAGGTCGTGGATTTATTTACTATCAAATCAACCGGTAAATCCAAAATTAACTTCCTCCGCGTTGGGGGCGTTTATTTTAATAGACGATTGGTCGGTCGGTTGAACGATGGAACGTGAAGTTTGCTCGGATTAGAAATATTCTCTATATCGTTACATTTGTATTTTACTATGGTCGATTCGATGTAACTTATTGGTTTAAGTATTAACTTGTTTATTAGCATGTTTTTTGTCAAATACAAGTTTGATGGTTCAAACGAATGAATATTATTAATAAAAAAAAAGAAATTTAAAACAATCCTTCCTTAATTTAAGTGTTATTTCCTTGAAGATATCACATTTTTATTTTTAGAACGATTAAAGTATTCGAAAGAACGTTGAATTCTAGATTTTAGACGTGTTTAGACACTATTGTTAACACTATTAATCTTTTATTATTAGATTGAGGATAATAATTTATTTGAATATTTTTCTATTTTCAAATTACATTTTAACTTTTCATTATTAATGAAACTTTGTATAATATGAAGAACATAAACAATTTTCTTTTTATTGAAAAAAACTTAATAGAAACATTTTAATTGAAAATCAACAATAAAAGTTTTCATTTTTTTTATATAACTTCGAAAAATTAATTTCCAATAAATTCTTTGTAATATTAATATAAATACTTCTTTGAATCTACTATGTATGAACATCTGTTACAAATAATTTTTTCTTCTATTCAACGCACATGTTCGATACGTAATCAATTGGCACAACTTTTAGATAGGAATCGCAGAATCGATTCAAAAACGATAGGCACGTTGTAAAAGAGTGACGAAGACATGTCGAGCCAATGAATCTGATATCGAATTCTCGCATAGTGCCCTCAGAACAGCGAGGCAGCCGCCCTAAGATTGCCAAAGAGTTTCAAATTTTATTTTGGGAGCGCCACCTGCGTGTATCTCGTTCGCATGTGAGCATCGCCCTGGCACGTGCTAACTTTCTGTGAACTTATTAACCAGTTAGCCCCATTGCATGCCATTTCTCGAGTCGAATCGACATCGTTATTTCTAAAATAGAACATCGCCTTCGATTTTTAAAAAGTATCGAAAATAAAAAAAATATTAAAAAGTTGTTGAGTGAAATAGTCGGTGAGAAAATGGTTCGAGATGTTTGTCCGTTAACGATACGGGGCTGTGGTATGTTCGAGATTAAATAAACAGTAATCTAAAAATGGATTCTCAGTCTTATTGGATTCTTTTCGTATCTGAATTTTTAAAAATCGAGAAATATGAAGGAAAAAAGTGGATCTTAAAATATTTTATTTTAAATCCTTCGTTAAATTAATTGTATCTATAAATATAAATATTGTAAAATTAAACAAATTTGTGAATTTTTATTTCAAAAAAAAAAAAACTTTGAGAGAAATACGTTATGGAATGTTGCTTGAAAATAATTCAATAATTACACACTTAACAAAATTCCATTCTGCACAATTATACCTACTCATTATCATTAATAAATAATATTAACAATATTACAAAACAGAACTACAGCCTCATAAGCCCTTTTTAGAAATTAAACTAAATTATAAATTCGATTCCAATTTCCATCTCGTTCTCGAGACAAATAAAACAAGAAGCACGAGATCTCCCCTCGCCATTTTTCACCATTTCAAACGAATCGCGACGAAAAAGGTGAAGCACGATTTCTGATTCCTACTGCAGGACTTCCGGCGCCACCGGGGAAGCCAATTTTGATACCAGGCGCGGACGAGTCTCAGCCGGATGTGGTTGCGATTCGTTGGGAGAGGTCACCGAGTAACGGTGGCTCGGCGATCGTCGGCTACCTGGTGGAGCACCGAAGACTGGGCTCGCAGCATTGGGCGCGCAGCACGCCGGGTCTTTGCACCTTCCCGGAACTGACCTTGAGCGGCCTCGAGCCAGGATGGCGCTACCAATTCAGGGTCAGGGCCCAGAACGCGGTTGGCCTGTCCCGGCCCAGCGAGATCTCCGATCCTTTGACCGTCACCTTGCAGAGATCCGTTGCGTCCGCGCCCCAGTTCGACCTTGAGATCAAGGACACCACCGTGCTCGAAAACGAGCAGGTAAAGGCTTTGTAACAGAGGCTGAGATAGATCATCACGTAGACAAGTACTTTGCTTCGATAAGTTAATAGGTTTATCTGGAGGATAAATTTATTCGAATTAAAAATTAAGGAACGTAGGTGAAAATGTAAAATCAATAAATTAATTATTTTTTTTTTTTTTGGACACGATCGGTGTTCTGAGATATGAATTCAATAATAATTTTGAATAATCGACGTCCTATTATCGATTGATGAACGATTGAGTAAAATATAAATATCGATTGTGTTAAAGGATATTTCAGAATATACGAAGTTATCTTATCAAATGTATTGGAAAATGATGTTTCTTGCAATAAATGCGTAGCATGTTATTTCATTAAAAATCTTATGATTGAAACGCACAGTTTTGAAATTTGTTCATAATAAATTATAAATTTTACAGAAACTAATCATCTAATCTTTTGATTTCTTCGTTCTAATTCATATCTACGTAAAAATGATAATTCTCTTATTAATTGATTCTTACGTCCAGGCCGAATTTGTGGTGCGATTTACCGGATCACCCCTGCCAAAAATCGCATGGTTCAAGGATGGTTTCGAGATCTTCAGCAGCAGGCGGACGAGGATCATCACCGAGAGTGGGAAGAGCGTTCTTCTCATTCATCAAACCGCGCTCAACGACGAGGGAGAAATAAAATGTACCGCCACGAACCGAGCTGGCCACGCCAGCACCAAAGCAAGATTAATTCTGGAAGGTTAATTTTCAATTTTTGAATTTCTCACTCGATGATAATAAAAAAATTTCCAATAATATTCTCTATTTTCTATCCGCAGCACCCCCAAAGATACGACTTCCGCGTCAATACGAGGACGGCCTTCTCTTCGAGCAAGACGAAACGATTAGATTGAAGGTGTCGTTGGCTGGAAGACCTCCACCCTCTGTGATTTGGTACCACGATGGCGAGGTGGTCTCAAGCGACGAAAGGCACGTCTTCGAGTCGATGGACGGTGAATCGATCTTGAAGATACCCGATGCCAAACGAATCGACAGAGGAGAATACGTGGTCAAAGCGATTAATAAGCTTGGAGAGGACACGTCGTCCTTTCTGGTGACTGTGACAGGTTGTTATTATGATGATTATGATTACGAATAAAAATTAATCATTTTGAAAATTGAATCAGATGTGGGTGTTTGGTTATAAAAGTATGAAATTACATATAAAAGATTACACCCAAATTTCTTATGTATTTAAATTATTTATGAATTACATAGTAAGTTAATCGATAATCCAAGTTATGTAAATTTTAATATTCCATCGTAGGAGAGAAACGAATTACAAAGCAAGGATGAGCTTGTTGAAATTTTTAAATTAAAAAATTTTACGTAAACAATATTTTATTATTATAAGTATAACTTTCAATTTCCTCGAATTTTTCTATTCTTCTTTGCGATATAAACAGATGATTTTATACGAACCATCGTTTCATTGTATAAATTGCTTTTTGTATTGTGATCCAAATGTAAAGTAAATTGCTCTGTATTTTTTCTTATTTTATTAGATCGGCCTGCTGCGCCTGGAAAAGCGAAAGTCACGATGACGTTAGGAAGATCGGTGTCATTGACGTGGCAAGAGCCGGAAGACGACGGTGGTTGCAAGATTGGCACATACATCGTCGAGTATTATAGAGTTAGCGATAAAAATTGCAATGAGATTCTTCTTTTTTTGAAATTTAATTTTCTTATTCTTCCTTTTTTGATTGATTATCATCTTTGAAATAATCGTTTTATTTCAGATCGGTTGGGACGTGTGGTTGAAGGCAACCACGAGTAGGCAAACTAAAGCAACGTTGTCCGAGCTGATCGAAGGATCGGAGTATAAATTTCGAGTGAAAGCAGAGAATCCGTATGGAGTGAGCGAGCCGAGCGAGGAGAGCGATGTAATTTTCATTCCAGATTTGAAAAGAGGGTACGTTTGTTATTCGATTAAATAGCATAGTTAATTAAAAAATGTTTAATAATGTAAAATTATAGATACTTTCTATAAATATTGAATATTTTTAAAAAATGCATTTGTCAATCTTTTAATCTTGAATTTAAAACAAATTTTTCTTCAACAAAACATTCATTATAAACATTATAAACGATAAATATATTATTATTCGTTAATTATATAGAATATTATATATAATTGAGTCATGAAATCATGGAAGATGAAGTTTCGATTGAAGCAAAAATCATTTTCGTTATAAGCTCTCCAATTTCTCCTAAAAGTAAAACTTCAAATTTTTGTCACTTTATCAGGATGAAATTATTAATATTTTCACGTAAGAAAAAAAATATTTATCAAGAACAAACGTGTTCTTACTTTATATCTTCGTTAATTTTGAATAAAAATAAGTAACACGACGTTTTTTCGAACGAATTCAGTATTGTGGCGCCCTTGTTGAGCGGAAAATCGCAGAGTCAAAGAGAAATCAGATCGCGAGAGAAACGAGAAGTGAGTTTCGCCGTTCCAACCCAGAGAACCAGAAGTTTGACGAGAGAGGAGGCCCGAGACGACGACGTTTTTGGGCCGGCTAGTCGATCGATATCGGCTCAAAGACTAACAGGAAGGCCATCCAGAGCTGACAGCAGGGTGACTTTTGCTTTGGATACAATGGATAAGTCGAAGCCACCTGTTCCACCGGCCAGATCGAAGGATCATTCCAGTTCAAGGCAGGAGAATCAGGTTGGAAATCACGTGGATCGTTCGGCTGTTAACACGAATCTATCAAACACCGAGGCAAGTAGTTTTATTGTAATAATAAAATTTAAATAGATATTGATTCGAAATCAAAGTTAAAAAATTATGTATTAAATTTTAATATAAAGTTCAAAGAAAATAGATACAGATAGAGTTTTGAATTTTTAAAAATTTTAATATTTAATACAATGTAAGTTAGATTTTTTATATAATTAAATTTAGTTTTTTTTATTTAATATTAGGATTAAATATAAATCAGTGATTGAGTAAAAGAAAAAAGAATTTAATTAATTCTCGAAAGGATATTAATAAAAATTTATTTTTGCATTTAGAATTATCTCTATTTATTACCATTGAATCCATAATATTAATTATATATTTAAAAATACATTATGAATTTATTATTTGACGAAATTTTATTTCACATACAAGTTCAATTAATCTTCAACAAAAATCAACAAAAAAAGACCTGTCACTCTTCATAAACAATTCATAAACATTATGAAGTTTGATATAAATATAACAAAATATTGTTGCAAACAGGTTTTAATTCAAAATAAAGAACCTCCATCAATACAAATACCACTGGCAACCGTGACAGTGACTCCACCTACAATGGAAGAATCCAACAAGCGTTCAGCGTTCAGAGAATCGCGTTCGCGATCAGTTTCCATGTCCAGGGAGCGCAGCATGTCGCCATTGTCGATGCCCAAGATTCAGGAACAGCACGAAGAAGAAACTTTCAACTATTCGCGTCCATCGATAAGTTTAACTTTGAAGAAGCAGCAAGCCGTCGTCGACGAGGTTGAAACACCGCAAGTAACAAAAAGTGACACTTTGTACGACAAATTAGGATTGCCTATCTCTCCTAGAGAGGATGATGTCACCGTTATGCATGGAAGTTCGGAATTTATGCTGGTTTTGTACCCGGAAGATCAAGCGAAGAAAATGGATGACCCAACGCGAAAAGATTTAGGTATTATGATATTATTTAATTGGAAAAACATATTCGTTGGAATTTTATTTTTGAGATGTAAATTACGCCACAAAATCGTGTAAATTTAAAAAATGAAACTAGTATTTTTAAATGACTACAGATCAATAATTCTGACATTAATATTTTGAAATTAATAGCATTGCTACGAAGATTTAAAAATGATGAATGAAAAATTTGCAATTGACATTTATAATCGATTCGATTTTACGCTAAAAATATTAATTCTCCATAAGCAAATTAAGAACTGAAAGAAAATTTCAATATTAAATTTTTAATGAAAAAAGTTTCAAGTATTTTATTTAACAATCATTCGTATATAGAAACATTTTTCGAAACGATAAAAATTAATTTCCTTTCCGATAATTTCCCAATTTCCAGAGGCAAAACGGGGTGCAACGGAGGGAGCAGAGGACATCGAGGACCTGATACCACCGCCTATGTCCCTCTCCCTTCCAGAACTGTTCAGCGCGGAGCACCAAGTGGTAGAAACCCTGAGAGAGGCTGTCAGCTCCACGGAGCTGCTCCACGAGCGTGCCATGGAACGTTTCTATCGTGCAGTGGCGGCCGAAGAGGCATCGGAGCTGGCCAAAAGAAAAAGCCAACTCGAGAGAAAAACCGGGGAGCTGGCGACAACGACAGCGAACAAAACAGGGACCGAAGATATCACCTCTCTGGACAGTCAAAGATCTTCGTTCAAACGGCGGCTGTCCAATCCAAACGTTCCATCCTCGAACCTGATCACCTGGCAGTCGAAGAAGAATCGCAGAAGACTGAGCGACAGCCAAACGGAAACCGTAAAAGCTCCTCAGAAACTGTTGGCCCCTACTACCTTCTTATTGGACGTGGAGGCAAGATCTGATCCCAATTTACCCAGCGATTCAGAGTCACCTATTGCGACCCAATGGGGATTGGAGAATAAACCGTTGGAGGACACGCCATTGCGCAGGTGGCACGACACCAACGTGTCATTGGTCGAGGAGAAGCAGGAAGAAAAATCGATAGCCTGGCAGGCAGCAAGCAACGAGGCAGCGCGCATCGAGGAACCGCCTCGAGACCAAATTCCACCGACCTCTCAACCGGGAACGAAGCGAGAAGAAAAACAGGAGGAGGAGGAGGAAGAGGAAGAGGAGAGCGTGGAATCGTCGGAGGAATCCTCGGAGGAGGTCAGCAGCGCCGACAGCGAGGATTTGAAGCTTCTAAAAGCCAGAATCCTAGCCAGACAGGTACTCGACGAGGAGGATACCTATCATCCGAGGGGGAAGCCGATTCTTCACGTCGAAACCGAGCCGTCCTCGCAACCGGCCCGATCGATCGTCTCTCCCAGCACCGTAGTTCCAAAATCAATTCTGAAGAAGCCGAAAGAGGAGCCGATTCCTGTGAACAGTTTCGGCAGACCTGTTCCACCCGAGAAACCTATTAGAAGATCCTTACCTCCCAATGTTCATCCGTTGAATAAGAACGAGGAGGAGGAGGAAAAGAAGGAGGAGGGAGAGAACGAGGAGAGACAGGTCACACCCGAGCCTGCCAGGGTGCCTGTCATGTCCGAGTCAGACACCGACAGCGTGTTATCCGCGGGCGAAGCGGCGAAGAATCGAAGAATTCAGGCGAAGATGAGAACAGCGACGCCGGAGGAGGAGGTGGACGAGGAGGACATCGAGGCGAGGATGGCGGTCGTCAATCACTATACCGAGATAGTGAGGGAGCACTCCTCCCTCTCTCGTTATCAGAATTACCACAGAAGCTCAGAGGAGAGGAGACAGTTTGGGGAGAATTCGACTGGTTCGAGGAGGTCCTCGATCTCGGACGATCAGGAGGCGAGCAATCGAGGGAGGGATCGTTTTGAGAGGCAGAACGTTGAGGTAGAATTGTAAAGAGGCAACAGGAGGAGAGGCAACAAATGAAAGGTTCTCGAGGGACGACTCCAGCGAGAGACACGAAGGAGAAACGACCGAGCAGGCCGTCTTCCAGGAACCAGTCCCCGGTCTCGAGGTCGAGGAACGTGTCCACCGAAAGAGGAGGAGTTTCTTCGAGGTCCTCGTCGAAGAGCAGAGCTCGTGCACCGTCCCAAGACAGAAGGCCACCCTCGAGGACCGGCTCGGAAGAGCAACGATTCGTTCGAGAGTGGTCCGTGGAGGAAGGTGGTGGTCATCGATCGAGGAGATCCTCCTCGAAGACGCCTTCAAGATCTAGTTCCAGGGACAGGAACAGAGCGGGGACACCCGTCGAGTCGAAGATGGAACGTCTGCAGAAAGCTTTGGAGAGCAAGAAGTATCGATCCCACTCTAGACGTGGATCGAGCTCACGAGGGAGGGAGTATTCTGAGAAAGCTTGGCGGGAGAGTCGATTGAACGAGGAACAACTTGCTATAGAGGCCAAACATAACGTGAGATCCATGGTGGAGTATATAACTGATCTAACTTTGTTGCTCGCGGCTGTCTACGTATATCTGTTCAAGAAGGAGACCCTTGCAATACCCTTCATAGCGCTCCTGTTCTATAGAAGGATCCAGCATGAGATCAAGGGAAGAGTGTCGAGAGGATGGTGGTTGTCGAAACGAAATTCATGACGAGGATACGACGAAATTTTATCACGAATGGGAAGATATAAATAGGGGGAAATATTTATGGAGTATTTGAAAATTTTCGAATCTCTGATATTGGAGATCGTCGTGATCATCGTCGTGCTTACTCGTGATGATCGCTCGAAGAACAAATTCTTGACCTTCGATTCGACGGCATTGCAACGTGCCGATTCTCGACCTTTAAGGTTGTAGACTTCGAGATGCATTCGTATGGCAATCTGTCAAGTGCAACAACAGTGCATCGATTGATGGCTTGTTCGATGATGAGCCAATTGTTGTATTTCAATTGAGAATTTCACGCGGAACGAGTATCAAAAATGATAGTACATGTTTTACAAGAGAGATATATTTAATAGTATATGATTATAATTATTATTATTATTATTATTATTATTATTATTATTATTATTATTATTTGTTGTAACTATTATTTATTCCTATTTATTATGGATATTCTTACGTGCAATAAATGTGTACATAACTGTTGAATTTAAATTTATTCTTCTTTCTGTTTTATTTTTAGATTTTTCTTATGATTTTGAATTATATATATATTTCGTGTAATAATTACGGTAAAAGTTTAGGAAGAAGAGATCTTTCACGATGTTTATTATTGTTTAAGAGTTAAGAAATAAATTGTAGAAATAAAGCAATCGCTTTACAATTTTAGCCAAAACGTTTATGCGTATTGTATAAGCCTTACATTCTATTTTAATTTCATCTAGAATTTAAGCCTCTCTACCGATATCATGACCACGACAATTACGTTTCTGTTGGCCAAGAATCTACTCTGTTCCTTATTTAAGTCTGACGCTCCATTTTAACACAAAAGCAAGCTTTAAGATAATAATCATGATAACGGAATTATTGGTATTCCTTGCTCATACTTGAATTCATTAGTTTCAAATTTTTGATTATCGATCGAATTATTTACAGATTTTGCAAAAATCTATCAATCACTAAATTCGTATTATTAGTCAAGAATCTCGAATTCCTCCTGTTCCAAAATTAACATCGCATTTCATCATTAAACTATATTATTAGCTGGCAAATCAATCATCCCATTTTAGTCAATTAAATATTATCTCTTCCAAATTCAAGAAATTCATCCCCTTCGTTAATGTCGTTTTATAATAATTTTGAATCAAAAAGATAATACGTCGATTCGAATATTTTTACTTTAGATTCAATCAGAAATATATATATTTATTTGTACTTAGAAAATGGTAGAAAATTTAAAATATTGTCATCTGTAGAATGATAAATCAAAGAAGAAAAATCTTTTTCGAATAATGATCCCGCGAAACAATCACTCGAAAACTCGATAGATATAAAATAGGAATATTATGCAAAGGAAATAATGAATTTTAATGAAAATTAAATAAATTAATTCGTCATAAATATTATGCTATTACTATTACCTAGCCAATGTATAAACAATTCTCGTAAGATTCAGTAAACTATAATTCTATAATAATAAACTATTAATTTTTCATTTTTCCAACCAAAAATTTAAAATTATTATACCATTTCTAAACTTTTCTGTGAAATTCTTTGGACTCTATTATTATAGAAAAAGTCACTAATCTAATATCTTGCAATCCCCAAAAACGAAATTCAAATCGAAGATAAAATAAAAGAAGAAAAAGGTCGAGGAAAAGCGTACCACGAGAGAGGAAGAGAAAATTCAAAATTATTCGAAGCAATGCGCCAGGTCACGTCAGGGATAGATAGGAAGCCACCACAATAATAATCAATTACCTACAATCCAAAAAAAAAAAAAACGAAATCGAAAAATCGAAAACCAAGACCAAGAAAGATCAAGAAAAGAAGAAAGCTCGCTTGTATGAAAAAAAAAAATTATTCAAAGTTACGAAATGCGCTGGATCACAATAATAACCACTATATACCTACCAAATCCAAAGAAGAAGAAGAAAATCCAAAACAAAGCGGGAGGGAAAAAGAAGAAACAAGAAAAATCGAAGAAAGAAGAGAAGAAAGTCAAATCTCACCATTTACGAGAGAGAGAGAGAGAGAGAGAGAGAGAAAGTTATTCAAAGAATAAAAAAACATCGATGCGCCGGGTTACATCAGGGAATAGATAGTTGGCCGAAGGAAGAGGGGCGAGGGGCGTTCCTCTCGAAAGGGGAGAAAGGGAGAAAGAGGCGTACAGGAAGCTCGGCTCGCCCCTACCGCGCATGTGCGCGTTTCGTTAAAACGACGAAGCCGAGAGTGGCGTGTCGAGACGATTTTAGACCGGAGCAGGGCCTCCCGCCGTCAGATTTCGTGGCGCAGGGTGTGCTTGTGCCACGGGTCACCAGCGCGAAGAGAGGAGCACGGTCGAAGGGAGGAGACGGAAGCTTCTTCGGCGGCCGAGGCGCCGTACGCCGCGACCGGAAGGACGTGCAGGTTGCAACTCTTTCGTCGTATCGAACGCGAGTGTGGCCCCTTCGCGAGTGATGTCAATGCGAGGAGGAATCGGTTTTCCCATCGTCTGAAGAGATGACCTTAACAGGTAAGCGGTTACCGCGTATTAACCGCGAATCTGCGTCTCAGAGAGGCAGAAAGAGACGGGAAGGAAATGTCTTGGAAATGGAAGGGGATCTCGATGTTGGCGAAAATTTCATCGAATTTTTTATCTCGTTAAATCTCGTTGTGTATATATCTCGCGGAAGAAAAATTCGATACAATTTATCTCGATTGAGAAGAATAGAGTTAGAAAGTTTCGAACGAGACCTCTCCGTTTCCATAGAAATGTGCATCGATGACGTTTGACTCGCTTTCCTCATCGATCGACGTAATTGTAATCGGTTCCGAAACGATCGTTGTTACATAAAAATCTCGAGGCTTGCCGGTGGTCGAGTATTTATACGCGGTAATAACACGCGTTTACGAATCTGCGTTTAAAAATAAGAGCAAAACTGTTTTTAACCGGGCGTTTCAATCGCGGCACGGAACGACGACGATGTAGTTGGGGGAAAAAAAAAAAAATGTGACGAGTGTCGCGTTGAAAATGGAACCAAGTGTCGGAGACATTCGCGGCCATGTTTATTTTTTTTTGTCGTATTTATTTACAGGTTCGATGCCGGGTGCTCGGAATTCCTTCGAAATTCGCGAATTTTTTACAGGCATCGAATACATTGTACATAAACTCGATGGATGGGAAGAGATAGCAAGCAACGTTTTATATTCTTCCAAAGCGGTTTCCATCTTGACCGCCGCTTTCTCCACTCAGACATCTATATTTACGCCCGCGATTTTCGTCTGGCCGCGTACGTTTTCCGTGGCCATTTTGGAGACCACGTGAGCGGCCAAATACCAGGTAGCGATCGCGAATAATAAATTTTCGCCTACTATCGAACGTCGGATATATCTCTTCTTCGAATCAACATATTTGAAACCATACCAAAAATCGAAGGAGATTCCCCCAATATATGGATATTGATTCGAAACGTGAGATTACAAAAAAAAAAAAAATAGCAAAATTAAAAGAAATGATTGCGCGTAAGAAAAAAATTAATACATGGAAATATATGGTAATGTTTTTCCATCTTGGAAAAATTCATGGAAATTTTCACGAAGCATATGTTGCATTTAATTAAAGATTAATAAACTTTTCTATTTCTTCAAAATGTTCCTCCCAATTCATCGAAATAATAATCGATTTAATTAATTTAATTATTATTTATTATCGTTTTATCGATTTAACAACCGAAATTATCTTATCTTTTATATATTTTATGAAAATAGAATTTCTGTGCAAAATTTCTAAAAAATTGGGTCTAAAAGAGATATAGTAGTCGTTATTATTAATGATCTGTTTGATTACATACAATTGCAATTGGTTACAGACAACATGACGAAAGCTAAAGGACCGCCACGATGGCTGGACCCGGACCAAGCACTTCCGGTTCAGGGACGCGTCGGTGAAGACATCGTCATCGAGCCGAGATTACGATGGTCCGATGTTTTCGACGAGTTACGATTTGAACTGTAAGGATTATCTCTTTATTTTAATTTATCTCGAATATTTGTTTAGATATTGGATAAAGTGATAGAAATGTATTCCAAGTTTAGTAATAACCAAACATTTTTTACGTTTACTGAACTATGATCATTCATTCCTTTTGAATAAACTTCTGTGATAAACTCGTGGATTATTTTTAATTTATCGGATTTTTATTCAATTATTCTGCCTTTTACGTATCAGATTATTATTTTTTATGATAACAAATGATCTGAAATCGATATGATAGATTTTGCAATTCTGACGAATTTAATTTTGTGTGTTTAATATTGGAATAAAAATATAATCTTTTTGTTCTTTCTTTTTGAAGAAATTTCTGTGTAATAAATTAATCCGTTTTGATTGATTTTGTTCGATATAATTATTTAATTCTACACCGTCAAATCGTATAATTAGATCGATCTTAAAAAATTTGTTTAAAATTTCTACAGATCTACAATATAAATTAGATTCTAAATAAATCGATAAATATTCATTCAAAACTTTTCGCACAAATTCCACGAATTTTACAGTTTACCAGAATAATTATAGGATGAAAGTAGAATCTATTCGATGTTCGAAGGACGGGTTAAACCGGCAAAAGTTCACGGCCCCTGTTTTGTTTCGTCTCGTACTACAATGATCGAGTATCCGTCGTTTACCCGTTATCGTTCATTCTCGACTATTGGCCCTAATTCCGTGGAAACCTTGAAACGTGCCAAGGATCGAACGCAGTTTATTTCGAGCTGTCGCGCACTTAATTTTCGCGAAGTTACCAAATGGCACCGCCGTAATTTTTGCACATAATTCCCGGATCGAATTTTCCAACGCCGGAAACGTAATCGATCGATTATTTCCGATTTTCATAGTGGAAAAGGAGAGGAAAATAATTCTTCGTCAAATTCTTCTTCAAGCGAATGACATCCTTCAAATGAAAGAAGAAACGAGAAAGAAGTGTTGATTAAAGTTTAACTGTTGGTCGTTTTAACGAAAAATTAAGAAAGGAGTGCGAATAGATGGGAATCTTTCAATATGTGTCGAATAACAGAATTAAAATTTTTTAATATAACAAGCCTCGTACAGTAGGATTGTAGTTGCACCCATTATGAATGAGAGTTAATTTAATTTAATTAAGTATCATCATAGTATCTTATATATATTATAGAGAATATAAAATAAGTGTAATCTTTTTTAAAGGTATTACTTAATATTCAAAAATCGTAGTTTAATTATCAGCCTATTAAGATCTATAAGATTGCGTAATATTTTTTAAAAAAATATGCACGCATGGATTACTTAATGACTTAAATATGAAAATTTTCAATTTTCTTGAATTCGAGGTAGTTTCAATCATTAAAATAATAAATTTTGTCTAGGAAGATAGTCATTGAACGCTTATTTCGGGAACGTAAAACATGACCTCATCTAGCCTCGCCGCTTAAATAAGACAAGAAGATTGACAGATCGATGATATTTGTTGTCTTTTTCAAACGATTTGTCAGCTGGATCACATTACTCCTGCCTCGTTCTTCAAATCTGATTAACAATCAAACATTGGAGTAATAATAAACAATTTATTAATCCAAAATATCCAAATATTACGTTTAAAATTCGGACTAACTCTTATCATTACAAATACCGAGTGAAAATTACATAATCGCAAGTACAACTTGAGGAAAGAATTCCTTCGATCTCAGAAACGAGACATTTCGTCAGAAGAATAAAAAACTGAATGTACAAATTAATTCTTCGTACAAAACAACATTCGTTCAAAGAAACCAATTACTCGTAAAACCTGTCGCGGTATACCACGTCGTCGAGTTAATTCCACGGTGGAAAAATTCCTCCCACGAACGATCGAAAACGATTCGAAAATCGAGATCCGATCGACACGCATCTGTTGGCAGGCCAACACTTCCCCTGACCATTCAGACGCTACGTCACGACGAACGACGACGGAAGCTTTCCTCCCGCCTACGTGGTTACGAAAATCCCGGCAAGCGGGATTCACGTTCTCTCTCACCCTACCTCGCCTCTTCTAAACGCAATCTAAATCCGACCCAGCTCGCGAAAATTTTCGCGAAAAGGCGAAAGTGGCGCTGCCCCTTGGCGTTTCTCTCGCGTCTAGGATGGTGGACGACGCTTGCTTATAGTTTCCTTCCAACTGTAGCGGAAGGTGGGCCGATGGTGGAGGTGGAAAATCGGGCGCGGACGATCCTCCTCTGGCATCCCGCTATCAGTCTTCCGAGGGAGCGTCGCGACGATCGACGAGCGGCCAAAAATCAGCTCTCTCTCTTTCTCTTCTATTCTTCTATTTTACACGCGTTCCACGTTAATCGGAACAGAGAGAATCTGGCTGACAGATCGCTCGACGATCGGACGCTACCTCCCTTCCCTTCCTCCAAAGCGTCTCCAAATATCTCCTTTCTTCCTTGCCTCCCCCCCCCCCCCGCTTCCCCTCTCCTCCCTCTTCTCTCTAATTTTTGACGTGAGTGAATCGTTGTCATCATCGATGAAGCGGATGGGCAAGGAAGAATCTCGAAAGTGAAGTAAAGGGAAATCGTGGTTGGGCAGTTGAAGGAAGAGAAACAACGGAAGTGAATATTAATAGTTTGTTCTGCAACGTGTGATAATGAAACGGAATATATATAGGTTTCAATAGTCGAGGTGAAGTCATCGGGCATACGTTTCAGGCACGAGAGGACGCTTCCTTCGGTTTTATTTTTGCAACCCTGTCGATACCTGTCGATACCGCGATAAATAATAATAATAACGCGGTGCCAATGCGTGTGAGGAGGCGTCCGTTCAACGTTTATCGGTCGAATAAGCATCGATGAGGGTGGGCGGCAGAGAGAAGAGGAAGGATCGATGCATCGGTTCGGATTTCATCCGCCTCTTCGACCCTTGCTTCGACCCTCGAAACCTGGCACATTCCTTCGGGACAGTTGGTTCAAGGAACTCGCGAGTGATAAATGCATGGACTGGTGGTGTTGAATTTTGATTCGTGGAAAAATAGCGGGAAAAGTGTGCAGTAAGTGTGGTGGGAAGATGGGAAGCGACTGTTGCAAATGCGCCAATGGCAACAAACACTCGATCGCGGGATCGTTTAGGGAACGTTCTGGATACCGGTACGACGATCTTCATTGTTGTAAAGAATTGTTGTTGTCTTAAACGATTGATTAATTTTAATAATAATTCAAATTGGTTTGACAAAATACGAAAACAACTTTAACTTATATTTGTTTCAAATTGATGATCGATTTAATTTGAAAACATAACCCCCCAAATCCTGTAATCATTCGAATATAAAATTCTAGAAAGAATTTCAATTTCAATTTATTTATATTATGACGCATTTAAAAACTAAATTTCCATCACCAATTGAAATTTTATTCTCTATATAAAATATCTCGTAAAAGTCTCGAAATATTCTTATCAATTTTGCAAGTGCATCAATAGGAATCGTTTTATTGAGACTGTTCTTATCGAAATAATCCTCATAGATTATATTGAATATCGAAGGATGGATCTTGCACGTTTCCATTCTCCGTCTAAAAGCGTCTAAATAAAAATCGGTTGCACGCTTCCAACGTATTTCGAGCAAACAAATGATCTAGAGCGCCTCAAACACTTGGCATTGCTCTACTGCCCTATTTTCGTCGTCTTTTTACTCGGCCGTGCAAGCATGGCGGCGCAAACGTGTCGTTCGACCGCGGGAAACGCGCGTATTGCCCGAATTTTTTGAAGGGTTTGGATGGATTTGAGATATCTTGCTACGATCTAGAGAATATCTTTCTTCTTTTCTTCCTGTTGTTTCTCCATGATACGATATCTTTGGGGCAAAGTTGTGATAGATATAAAGATATATATGATATCTTCTTCTTTCTCGGTGAGAATAAGATGGAAAATTATATGATATTGCTTTAATATAATTAAAATAGATCTGTTCGCTTTAAGAGAATATTATTACAACTTTTGTATAATATTATTCTGGACACCCATCGTTGTAAATGCATTTTGTCCCACAAACAGCCAAATGAAACGACATTTTAAAATAGTGTTTCCTTGCTTCTAGAAACATCTCAATACTTGGTCTATTCAAACTATTTCAAATTTTCTCCAATATTTTTGATTCTCCCACGGATTTCACTGTTCGTTGATCAGCGAAAATCAGATGGCAGGCTTGGTAAACGACGATTGGATCGATCACGAATCGCTGAATTTATTTAGTTAGACAAAATAGACATTGCGTCACGGCTTCGACGAGGAGAGGCGCCTGTGCACGCGAGGTCGAGAAGGGCGCGAATTTTACAACGCGGTATGGCGCGCGTTGCGCAAACGAAGATTTTCTAAACGGGCGAATTGAATGAGCGGCGCAAATAATAGAATCTTCCCGACCGTCTGCCATACCGGTGAAAAAATAGAAGAAAGACGATGATCGCCGGTCCGATTGGACATCGGCCATCGCCCCGGCGGCAGGCAGAAATTGGCATTTGGATATTGCAAAACCGACCTCGTTCCTTTAGAAAGTGTTCCTAGTTGCGCTTTCTTGCTGGCAATCGACTCGTCTGTGTTTTCCAATCGATCATTGGTCCGAGACTTTTCAGCACTATTATGCATACTATTTTCTATACATGGAGATGTAACAACTAAAGATCGTAAGTTTTAATTCTTAGAAAATTCTTGCGAGCTGTTGAAAATTGGTGGAATAAATTGCCCTTAAAGGGTGTACAGTTGCGAGAGTCTACCTCGTTGAATGGATAAATAAGGTTGAATTGAATTATCCCGATTAAATGATTCAGAAGCTCGGATTAGACGCGGATGAATTTAATGCGTGCGATCCTTTTGAAAAGGGGGAAAAAATTATGATTTCCATCGCGCGTTTACTATTCGACCACCGTTCATATTCGCGGCGCGGTTTTCTTGAATGAATGAAAGAGAAATGTGACTGGGAATTATTTTAAACACGGATGACGAAATGAAGGATTCAACGTTGAAACGAAATCGTTGGGAAATCGAATGTAAATTCTTTTTACGATACACATAAATTAGTTTCTTGCTACTTGCAAATGTTAAGCGACTATGTATAAATAGTATTTTTGTTTCTTGTTGATAATAAAAAATTTTATTCATTCTTTTTAAACAATTGACACTCATTAATTTATTATACGCGTAGCTTCGTGTATGTGGACAAAAAGTTCAAAGGGTGTTTCTCTGATATTGACTGACTTATTTGTCGACTGACTTGTTCTTTATCATTAATTCGAATGATTATATTGATTATATGATATAATAGCTCACGTGCACTTATTCAAAAAAGAAAATTTAAAAGAACTTTCTTCGAGATCTCTCTGAATATTCTATTAATTTAATATTTTCTTTCAAAAAATTACAAGATCATCGATAAGAAAGATTTGTTATCAAACACTTTTTTACTCTGAAATGAAATCTCGATGAGTTGCAATTCGTAAAGGTAGAAATGCGTGGAATTCGCATAGGATGTGAATTCGTTTCCATCGGTCCTGTTTCAAAGCAAAAAACGATTTGTTCCAACGGTATTTATAGAACGCCCACGTATACCGAGAAATCGTAACCACTGGTGTTATCCACGAGTGTTACCTGTCTTTCATGCGATTTCGTGAATGATTGGATAATCGAAGAAAAAAAGACGAGACAAGGGTTTATTCCATTTGCTCGAGATGTTGTAAAATCTCACGATTCACGAATTAACAAATAGTGAAAATAGAATGCGTTTTAATCTTGGGATATTTTCAACAATGTGTATATATGAAGATTGAATTTCGTTGAAATTTATTGGAATCGTTAAAAGAGATATATTACCGTGTTTCGAACAATATTATTTAATTGGAAGAATTTGAACGAAATATTTTAGTCCCCCGATGTTTATTTTAACTTGTTTCAAATTTTCCTGCCTCCCACGCACGTTATAACGACAGTAAATATCAAAGGTGGCGTGAATCTCGAGGATCGATTAATTATTAAAACCATTCCTATTATTATTCGACAAATAAGAAATATAATATATGATAAATATTACAATTTTTAAATGTTTTCTAATTCAGAATAAATCACTTTTCCAGCGTAAAATCGTAAGCTATTAATAATTTCCAAGAAACAAAAGACACATAGATAATATTACTCGTGTAACAAAATACTCAACTCCTTAACTTTTCAAAATGACGTATGTATAGCATATTATTTAATTGCGATAAAAATATCATAATAATCATGGAAAAAATTCATATCTTCGATAATACATAACACTCGCTCAATGAGTATTTTCAACGACGATTTTCGATCCAATTACAGAATACGCGGGGATGTGCCGATACCGTCCGACAGATACCGGGTACAAATGAGGGGGAACGTGGTCCAATTGACCCTGAAGCAGTCTCAAAAGGACGACACTGGGCATTACGCTCTTGTGGCAACGAGAGTTGGCCAAGGATTCGAGAAAGGATCCTCGAAGAAGATTCATCTGAGCGTCGACGAGGCCATCTCGGAAGAGGGTGATCCACCGATCTTCCTTCGAAGATTGACAGACCTTGCTGTTAAAGTTGGCACCAGGACCAGATTCCTCGTGGAAATTCGAAGTTCGACCACGCCGAAGGTAATTATTAATATTAAATAATTAATTAATTAAGAACCGCACTACTTTAATTATTAAATAAATAAGTAATTAAGTTTCAATTTTGATAAAGTAGATTCTTTCTTTTTTTCTAAAAAAATTCTTAGGTACCTTTATTTCTTAAATTACGCAATGGAAATAAACATCTGATTTGAAGCATAGGATAATTCAATAATAATTCAAGACTTGTTAAACCAAACTCATTACGATTTTTCTCGCCAAATGAATATAATTTTCAGAAAAGTAAACGACATAACTGTTGGCACTTGAAAAAAAAAAAAAAAACACTTAAAATTTACAATTAAAAATAAACCCGATTGAACGAGAAACAAATCGAAAACCTATTACAAAAATATAAAACTCTCAAACTAAACTCGAATTAAGGAGCAGCTAACGTTTCCAAAATTGGTAGGCCGGGTGAAGCGAAGATGGAATCCGTGCCAACGTCGGTGATCAACCCGGAAGGGTTGCGATCGAAATCACCCGGTCGCTTATTACGGATCTCTGCTCCCACTTTTTGCCTTCGAAGCGGGAAACGCGCGCTAAAAGGGAGCCAAGAGGTCCATGACCCGGGATTCAGAGACGGAAGGCGAAGAAAACGAACGGAACGGTCGTTACGCGTCGTATTACGACTATTATTACGCTCGCGCGTATACTACGGCCCTCGAGGTATGCCCCCGGATCGGCTAAATCCGCGTTAAGTCTCTGCTCTCCGCAGAGAAACTGCTGTAAACTCTCGTTTTCCGCGGTGCTCTCTTTGAGCGGATTGCGTAATGGTTGTAGAGGAAAATTGGAATGGAAGGGGGAAAAATATGGCAAAGAGAATTTTGATTTTTTATACATGTATATATAGTAGTTGTTTAAGCTTTTTCCTTCGAGGGAGTATTGTTTCTTTCTGTGAGATTATGGATGGAGATATGAATATTGTTTGTAATATAATTCTAAAAAATTAAAACCTTAAAATTCTTCTGTTTCTTTCTGTTTTCAAAAATTAATCTTGTAGAAACTGTGTATTGTATAGGCAATCTGAGAAGGCAAGATTTTGGATGACAGAGAAGATTGGAAAATTAGAATGGAAAGGGGAAAAAATATGAGTTATTCAAGCTTTTTTTTTTGGAAGTAATTGAAATTTTAAATAAATTAAAAATTGTCGTAAGAATTTTATTTGTATTTTTAGCGTGAACATTGTTTATAAAATTAAAAGATATCGAATACAACATAATTCTAAAAACCAAAAATTCTCTATCTACACGTGACGATCACCGCATAAAAATACCAATTACTAATCACAATTATTTAAAATAATTGTGAAATAAAAGGAACGCATTGCTTGGATATTACTCACTCCCTCTTTTCGTAAATTAAACAATCTTTTACACTCGAATAACGTATTTTCCACGAGCTCGCGTTGTCGTTTGACAGGTCGTTGACGTCAACGCGCTCGCCGCCGTTTAAATCTCGCAACGGTGTCCTTCTTATCGAATTCCAGATCACTTGGCACAGAAATGCCGAGCAGATACACGCCGGTACGAGATTCTCGTTCGTCCACGAGGGTAACTTCTACTGCGTGGACGTGGCGCCCGTCACGATCGAGGACGAGGGGCACTGGACCTGCATGGCGGAGAATCGAGGGGGGCGATCGTCCTGCACGTCTCGTCTCACCGTGATCGGTAAGGATACGCGTGTCAAATTCGAGGAGAGGTGATAGCGAGACACTTCCAGAAACTCGGCTCGGAGTCGGCTAAGCTCAGTCTCTTGTTGCCGAAAATAGAAACCGAGCCGAACGAGCGTTTTGGGACAGAGAGATAGATTGTGGCCAAAGAAGTTGCGAAATTTCTATAGTAACTTGCTTTTTTAAAAAAAAAAAGAATTAAACTAGAATTTTTTTTCATTTATATTTGGAAATTTGTATAGTTGGAAACGTAAACGAATTGTGGTTGATAAGATTGGGAAATTTTTATAAGGAATGTAATTTTGAACTTTGTTTCTGTTGAATTTTCTTAATTGTAAAAATAAATTTGAAAGATATTGATGTACTCTTTTATAAATTGGAATTTTTGAACGTAGATATCAATACTTTTATAATTTTAAATTTTAAACACTTGCTTCTTTTCATAAGTTTTTATTATACTTTTCTTATTCTTTAATTTTTTGATCTAGAAGAATTTTTATTTACGAAGAATCATTAAGACGAATATTTGAGATAATCAAAACAATGATTTATTTTATTATTTTGTATTTTATTTCAAATGCAATCATTTTCTACTTTCCATTTCAGTGTTACGCACACTCAAGAAGAAAATCCTTAGTAATATTTTATTATAAATAAAAGAACGATTATTATTTACGTCGCATTTAGTAATTCTTAAGTTACTTCTTTATAACTCTTTCTGTCTTTTTTTTTTTTTCTTTATTTTAATTTACAGTCCCAAAAGCTTACAAAAGACCAGAATTCGTGGAGGAGCTACGAGCTCTTCTTACAGAGACTGGAACAGTGTCCTTGGAGTGCAAGGTGGTCGGTGTTCCCACCCCCGTGTTGAGATGGTTCAAGGACAGCAAAGAAATCAAGGCTGGCGATGTGTTCGCTTTAACTGCCAACCTCGACGATCCAACATCCCTTGGAATTTATACTTGCGAGGCAGTGAATTGTATGGGAATTGCTTACTCCTCTTCAAAAGTAAGTAATTACTTAATTATTCTTGAATCCATTCTCGAAGAAATTTCTATTTTCGCCTAAAACTATTTAAACGTTTTAGATCAAGCGATTGTATAATAAAATAGAAAGTTCGCAATAAGCATTTTAAGAATGTTCTCAAATTTTTTGATAATTTAGTGAAAAAAAAGTAATAAGATAAATAATATTAAATTATTCGTTATTAATGAATTTTTTCTTCTTCTTCTTGTTGTTTCTTATTTTTAATAACAACTTTAAAAAAATTCAATTGAAACAAATAAAATTGTTCAAATTATGGTGTATCGATTCGTTTTCTCAGGTACACGTAGTCGGAAAAGGTAGCAGGGAGGGTTCTCTGAAACCAGCTGATTCCTTGACACCGTCCGGACCTCTTCCTACCTTCACGAAGATTCTGCAAGACGAGTGTTGCAGGATTGGAGACACTCTCAGGCTTTCTTGTCACGGTACAAAAATCTTCCTTCTTTGTTTTTCTGTTATACGAATACTTTTGGCAAATTTAAATTCAAATACAAACATAATTACAAACGTAGATTAGATATTTCTGTGTTTATTGTTAGATTATTGAGCTATTTTCCAATTAATCTATAAAATTTATTTACGTTTCAATTTTTGTGATTTTACATTAGTTCAAGTACCACCATGGCCGAAAGCAATTACGTGGTACAACAAGGAGGGGCGCATCGAGGCCAGCGAAAAATACCACGTGATGGAAGATGGCCTTGGTGGATACTTCATAGAGGTGAACCCTGTCGAAGCCATGGACGAGGGCGAGTGGAAATGCGTCGCCACGAGCGCTGAAGATATGAAACAGTTTACTACTTGTCACGTTGCAATGTCCAGTAAGTAGAAAAATTATCTCTTTTTAAATTTTTAATTCGATTTATCATATATTTAAATTTATTTGAATATTGGGTAAATTTATCATCATTTGATAAAGAATTTAATTCGAGAGAAATATATTTTTCCTTTTGTTCTGAAATTTAAAATACATTTACCTTTTTCAAGATAATAAAAAAAATTTTAAAAAATAAGGTTAAATCTAATTTTCAAAATGAAATATAACAATTTAAACTATCCTTGTAAAAATTACTTTGAAATGTATTATCAGTTTTGAAGAAGTTAAATTCATTTAAATTTTTCAACTATCCTCGTTAACCATTGACAAATTATATCAAAGTAAATAATAATAAAGTCAAAAAATAAAGTTTTTCCATGTTTTTTAAAAAGATTAAAAAATAAGGAATGATCCTTAAAAATTCTAAGAATTCAGAATTAATTAAATAGAATTATTACATGATATATAAGATTGGTATTGTTAAAAATTGACCAGTATTGTTTTATTCGTCAAGTTCCAAAGAACTACAGGAAACCACGCTTCATGGAAAGTTTGAAAGCTGTCCTAACAGAAGAAGGTCTCGTGTCGTTCGAGTGCAAGGTCGTAGGGTTCCCTACGCCATTGCTCAGGTGGTTCAAAGACGGCCAGGAACTAAAACCAGGAGATGTTTATCAATTGACCGGGACCAACTCCTTAGGTATCGATTTTCAAAAATTTGAAATATCGAATTAATTAGACTGTTCAAACATGAACTTTATCAATTATCGATTATCAGCTAATTTAATTTCTAGTCATTTAATTTTAATATTTTTAAAAATTTTAATATAATTTTGACTTTAGAAATTTTCATATCAATTATTCAAAGTTGTGTATTTTCAATTTTATTAATTTTTTATTTTTCAGAATCGAATTAAAATGGGAAAAAATTTTGACCAATTATTTTATTTTTTAGATTAATAAATATTCTTATTAGAATTGTAATCTGAATTTATTTATCAAATTATTTATTTTTAATTTTATTAATTCATTAACAATTATAATTTTATAATTTCGTGATATTATTTTTTTAATATTTTTCATTTTCATTTCGATAAGGTTCCTATTGCTGCATTGCAAGAAACTGTATGGGAGAGGCAAGGAGTACAGCCGAATTAACGATCGAAGATATTCAAAATCAATTAAACGAAGAAGAACGCCTGCAACTGTTAAATACGAATCAACCGCCCATTTTTATCAAAGGTCTTAGAAGTTGCGAGGCGAGGATCAACGAGGATTTTCGATTTACAGTACAAGGTAATGATTACAAATTTCGATACAATTTTAATCATAAATCGAATGCTAAAAATGGTAAATTACTTTTTTTATATAATAATTCTGTCATTATTATAGATTCTTTTAGATTAAAATCAGGTATAAAAGTGAAATTTTTTTCTTTAATCTTATTTGCAAATAAATAAACTCACTAGAAATATAAACAAATATCTTAAATATTATTAATTTCTAATCATAAATCTAATAAGTCTAAAATTAATATACTGATTTTTATTCTAATTATTTCTTATAATATACTTAAATTCTAATTTAAATATAACGAATCTATTCTTATTTATATTAAACATTCTCCGATAATTTCCAATTTCTCTAAATCTTTGAATTATAATTTAATTATAAGAGACACGATTTTTCATGAACGCAATATTTCAAGTGATATTTATCTTTCAAAATTTCGCAGTCAGTATTTCCCCAGAGCCAAGCTTCTCTTGGTACAGAGACGATACACCGGTGGAGGAGAACGAGAGATATCGAGTTGCCAAGGAGAATCTTGGCATCTGCCATCTCGATGTGCAAAAACTCGAATTCGCCGATCAAGTGAGTGTATTGTCTCGTTTAAGAAAGCGATATAATAATTAGAAAAAAAGAAATTACGAGAAATTCATTGTCGTACAGGCCGAGTGGAAGTGCGTTGCTTCCAACGATCACGGTCAAAGCATCACTTCCTGCTTTCTGAAACTAATCATTCCCAAGCACTACAAGAACCGAATTTCTTGAGAGTTTGCGCGCCATATTGTCAGACGAGGGCGCCGTCAACTTGGAGTGCAAAGTGATCGGTGTTCCGCAACCGGTTCTCAAATGGTACAAAGATGGCGTCGAGTTGAAGCCGGGAGACATTCACAGGATCATTTCCGGACAAGATGGCACCTGTTGCCTTGGGACTTACACCTGCGAGGCGACCAATTGCATGGGAACTGTCAGCAGTTCTGCCTCTCTTCTTGGCTTCGAAGGTATTTGAAACGAATTTTTATCAAGAAAATAATTATTAAATTATTTACTAATTCGTTTAACAGATAAACTGCCCGTTCGAAAGGAAATAAAGGAACCACAATCTCCAAACGGCCACGAACTTGCCAGAAATTTGTCGCTTTCGACCATTCACGAAGAAAGAACGTCTCAATTGTACGATACGCCCCAAACCGACCATTCCGTCACGTTAGACGATCGAGGAGAAGTGTCATTCAGCTTCGACGGCAAAGAAGTTTCCGTCAGCCTCTACGAAACCCCTGATCTCACCGAGGAAGAAGCTCTTCAAATCGTCGAGATGTACGCTGATCAATTGTCTGAACATGTTACAGGCAAGTACATGTATAATTTTACTATTACTTACAAATATACACACATAGCAACATTCGTTTTTAAATAAAATTCTTATTATTAACTATTATATAATTTATTCTATATTTTATAATTTCAAGAATTTTGAATTTCATTGAATTTCATTGAATTTTCATTGAATTTTGAAGTTTGAAAATTTTAAAAAGACATCGATTGTATAGTTCGTAAATTTATAATTTTTATGATTGCATATTATTAAATTCTAACAAAAAAAAAAAGAAAAGATTACTATGAAATTCAAATTTCCTCTCATTCCTTACCCTTTATAGAGCACAACGTGATCGAACTTCCGCCAATGCGATTCGTAAAAGAGTCCTCTAACTCTGGCAACCTGTTGATGGAAGCAGTGGTGATCGACGTGTCTCCAGACTACTTCGTCAGCGCGGAAGACGGCGACGATCTTCGTACCGAGGCCGATTTCGAGGACGTCTCCATAATGGACGACGTGACTCGAGTGTTCTCATCCCCGGATCAAGACTCTCGCAGCTCCCTGAAGAGATCTGCCAAGTACAGTTTGGACGAGGACGACAAACCGCCAATTAGACCGCCCAGGAAAAAGTCGAGCTCCTCGTCGAAAAGCGAGAAAAGCGAGAAGAGTCAGAAGATGGAATCGGAAAGCTTCCACAGCGCCCAAAGGGACGAGCCATTTTCACCAGTCTCACCGATGTCTCCCGTATCCTCGTTAAAGCAAGACGACAGCGACACCTTCGCCGATGCTCTCTCCTCCGCAAGATTATCCATCTCTGAGAATCAAATCCAGAAGGGGAGCGAAGACATTCGTGAGAGGAAACGTAGTCTGAGCGGGGAGAAAACGGCCGGTTCCAGCGTAGATGATGGGATAGGCGGCGACTCCTCCTTCGACTCTGTAACCGGCGCTGCTAAGAGGAAGAAGAAGCATCGAAAGAAGAAGCACAGACGAGAGAAAGGTAGCTCAGAGGAATCATCGATTGCCAGTGAGATCGATGGAAAACGTAGAGAAAGTGGGCCGGTAAATGCCAACACCGAGACGTTTCAACGAATAGAGTCTATAAAGAGGATCGAAGAACCGTACGTGGAAGAAGCGGCTGACAAATCTGACGAAAAGAACGGAGCGTTGGTGAATCTGATAAATCCTTGTCGAAGAGCAACAAGGAGAGATTGTTGGACAATATGAGGAAAATGAAAGAGCCTGTGCTGATAGTTCGCGATACTTTGGTCAGCATCGATAGCTTGGAGACCAAATTAAACAGCGGCAGCGAGGAAGAGTGTAAAGCAATCGTGAAAGAGAACGTGATCAAACCGATTCAAACGCTGTGCGAGGAAGTCTCGTCCATAGAGTCTAAGGCATTGAAGAGTGCAGGAGACAGATCGTTGAATCAGACGGTACGGATCTCCCTTTTGGAATCCATTGGAGGCCCGACCGAGGAGCTTCTTCGCGGCATGGAATTGATAGAACGCCAGGAGAACGTTAAGAACCGTAAGATGGACTTGATCGCGATTTTGGAAAGCCTCACCGATCCCATCGACGAGATTCTGATGGGGATCACCAAGATCGAACACGAATTGACCGGTCGTGCAAAAGGTGAGAAGCCTATTGCTCTGATCAGGATGACATCCGCGGTTTCTAAGCTAGACGAGAACGTGAGAGAGGTTTTGACCGTGGACAGAAGAGCTTCGCGATTAGTGGCTAGATTCGATGATATTCTGAACACGTTGGATTTCTTCTTGAACGACGTTTCCGTGGATCCAACTAAGGGAACGATAGAAACTGTAGATACCGTTGTGGTTGAGTCTCTTTCGAAGTCTGTTGAGGACATGGCTCGAGCCTTGGGTCGTTTTTCCGCGATCGAAACAAAAATTGTAGGAGCGTCTAAAGTCATGGACGAATTAATACCTCCGACCCGTGAACTGAAGGCGAAATTGGACACACTGAGATCAGCTTTGGAGACTTACGAGACGAGAGGAATTTTGTCGGAACATCGAACGAAGCTGATAGAATCTTTGCAAGATTCTGTCGGGCAGGCCATCGAGGAGATTAACAAGGTGAAAGACGAGAAGCCGATCGAAGATCGTAAAATAACGATAGAAGAATCTAAGCAAGATGTTCTGAAAGAGGTGAGGCTCACTCTTCAAGAAGCTTTGAGATCGTACGAAAACGTGGCGGGTAATCTCGATCCTCGGCTGTCTTCGATTTTCGATCGAGTTGACGAGATGTATCGAAGACTGAAGACTCCTCAGAAACGAGAGATAGGTGTAGAATCGCTGGTAAGCCTGGAAGGTCTTCTCTATTCCCTCCAATGCGCTCTTACGTCGACATCCATGGCTGAGAACTGTGAAACAGTGTTCGAGCTGTTGGAACCTGCGATCTCTCAATTGAAATCGACGATAACGAATCTGAACGAGAAATCCTTGCAATCTGTACTGGACATGGTGAACAACCTCGAGAAAACTGTTCGTGGAACTGAGAACGAGTTGGAAGACACAGTATCTTCGAAATCGACGCAAGGAGAGCCACAAAATTTGACGGATAGAATTTTAGATTCACTGATAGACGTTCAATCGGCTTTAAGCTCTGCTTTGCAAAGCATAGAAGATGTGGATTCGGTTACAAATGGTGCGGCGAATTCTCAAAAATTGCTAGCTTCTTCGGAGATAACTGTTGCCTTGTAGAGCTCAGACAATACGTGTCTGATGCAGCTCACATAGCGATGACACTTAAAGAAGATCAAACGTTGAACAGTCTGTTGGATGTGAAGGAACCGTTGATAGATCTTCGGGAAGCTCTTGCTTCGAAAGAAAGAACGTTCCAGGAACTTGAAATGATACGTAAAATAACGATTCCTATAGAGAAATTAAAGGTAACGGTATCGAAAGTGTTGTTCCATTGTCAATCACAAGAAGCTATTAACTCGATAAAAGATCTGTCGACGACATTGGAAGAAATCGAGACTCAATTGCCGAAGACTGTGGCCCGATTGATAGAGGCTGAAGAAGCGACCAAGCATTATTTGGAAAGTTTAAACACGGATCAGAATCTTAGCAACGTTCATTTCGCTCTTTCGTCAGCTTTAGAAAGACACGAGAGAAGTTTTCCTGCTCACACTTCGAGTCTGACCATTTGTGTCGAAGATCTTCGACAGAATATTGGTTCGACAGCAGTAGCAATCGCCAACTTGAAGAATCCAATAGACGAACAAATCGTGGGCCAAATATATTTGCTAAAGGATAGTCTGTTGAGCCTTCAGAGATCTCTGTTGACCCAGGAACACGAGCCTGAGGAGGAACAGATCTTGAAGGATCTGTTAAATCCAATTGAGAAATTAAGAGTTTGATTCAAAGAATGATAGACAGCAAGGCAAAAACAGATTTAATTCTTCCCGTTTTGGAACTTTTGGAAGAGATAGAAAAGGACACTCCGTTGATCGCTAAAGAAGCAGCGAAGAAGAAAGCTCGAAGAGAGGCAGAGAAATTAATTCCTAAAAAGGAAGAACCGAAGGAAGAAAAGGTTAAATCATTTGCTCTGGCTAATAGAATTAATAAATCATTGGATCCCATGAAACACTGGTTGTCCACTATATCGGATGACAGTGCGAAAGATGAAGAAGAATCTGTTCTGAGCTCCACTGTGGAGGATTTGAAACGAGACGTGAACAAAATTGCTATCGAGACCTCGTACTCGGAGCCTCCTAGTGATGAAAATTTGATAGAGGCATTGACTGGACTCCGTGAACCTTTGACAAGATTACGAAACGCCATATCGATGTATCACGAACCAGCAGACTTATCTACTTTGGAAGGATTGAGCAGACCCATGAAATATCTTCTGCAAACTGTCATGGACGTTCTTGGAGACCATGCTGAAGAAGAATCGCTAAGGCCTATAATTGATATCGTGGAAGAGATCGAGAATCAAATACCTATTTCCATCAAGGAAGTGCTTTACAAAAAGGAATTGAAGGAGATGGTAAAATCGATGACACGAGAAGAAAAAGAAGTAATTGGAACAATAACTTCTCAAGACATCACTATTCAGGAAGAATCTATTCCCTTGGAAACCATTGTCAGAGAGAAGGAAGAAATTACATCGAATATTTCTCAAGAAACTATTCCTGAAGGAACTCTGATGGAAAGTACTACAATATTACCTGAAACGCAATTCACTGAATCGATAATGGAACAGACTACAGGTGAAGAGATCAGCTCTCAAAGAACGGAACAGTTGCTTACGACGATAGAAGAATTGCCAAAAGGAAAAGAAGATACGAAGAAAACAAAAAAGGAAGAAGAAATGAAGAATTTGATTTTCTCATTGTCGAAGACGTTAGATACGATTCAGATGGATGTGACGAATATTTTAGAAGATTTCGAAGAGCCTACGACTGGAGCCATCACTGTTCCAGTCTCTCTGTTGGCCAATTCTTTGGAAGAACTCAGGAAAACAATCTCTTCGATGCAAGTAACGATTGAAACTCGTGGAAAATCCGTAGAATCTCGCGAAGAGATCGTCAATGAAACCATTTCCTTAATACAAAATCTCGTGCAGCCACTGAACGATCTGCAGAAGGTTCTCCAACAGTCTCATCAACATGGCGCTCGAGAATTGGTAATTTTAAATCATTTAATCTTACCTTTGAATGTAATCGAGACAGAAGTGATCAATTACGCAATTCAGAAGCTCGATCGAGACTCTGAATTGAAAAAGAATTGCGAACCAATTCTGAATCTTCTCAGAGATATCAAAGACACGATACCAATCGTTGTAAAAGACATACATTCTAGACAAGAGCTTCTTGGATTTCTTCGTGAGATTTCAAAACCCTTGAAGAATATCGAGGAACGAATGAAGATTCTCGAGAATCAAGCTGAGGACACATTGGAGACAGACGTGGCAAGAATTTTGGTGGAACCTTTAGATCATTTAATAAACACCATTAATATCACATCTCAGGAACTCGAGCTATTGGATCAACGAAGAGCTATCATCGTAGAGTTTCGAAGCCTCGTTGGACCTTTGGTGGAATTTTTGAGTAGTCTTTCGATGGTTCAAAGCAGTCGAAAAAGCTTAGTTCCAGAGGGGGCATTGTTAGACGAAAGAAGAAGCGTCATTTCAAAGGCTGTGGAAGGTCTTCAAAGGCAAGCTTCGGCCATCTTGGATAGAGTCTCCAATCTAGAAGGCGCCTCGATGTTCGAAGGTGCATTGAACTCCTTGAAAAATGCTTCCATCTCTGTTCTGAAGCAAATTGGCAAGACTGATTATTCACGAAGATCTAGCACCGCCGAGTTCACTCTTCAGTACAATCTTTCGACCTCGTTCAATCACTTGAGAAACACGATTGCAACTTTGAAAGAGAGTGTAGATAAACCAATCCACGAAATAATCGCCAAATCTTTGGAAGGTTTGCAGAAACAAATTACATTATCGCAGACACATTTTATGCAAACGTACAACGAGCAACGAGTTGACGAAGAAGCCATCGTCGAAGGATTTCTTTATCCGACTAATCAACTTCGATCAGCTCTGAGTACTTTAAAAGAGAAAATTGAAAAGAAAGAAATATCGATGGTTTCGAGTCAGTCTGTGACACTTTTTCAAGCTTTGGCTAATTCTACAACTGAATTGGCTTCTTCTTTGTCGCTTCATCGAGCCCAATTGATTCGAGAAGGGGAATCTGAAGGATCTTCTCTTGTGGAAACGTTGTCTGCCATGGTGGATGTTTTGGAGAGTGTAAAAGATTCTATAATAGAGATCGATAAAATGATAAACGTGAAGAAAACAACGATAGAAAAGAAAGTAGAAAAAGAAGAAGGTCAAAAAATCGAAGAACAAAATATTTTACCGATTACTATTACGCAAATTGAGACAATTATTGATGAAATTATCGAAGTTTCGAAGGAGGAAGTAGAAAGTGTGTTGACTATCAAAAAATTATCACCAGAGAAAGAAACGGTGACGATAGAAGAAATAAAGTCTGAATCTGAAAAAGAAATAAAAAGTGTTTCAAAAGTTGGTGAAGATAATGAAAAATCTTTAGTAAAAGAAACTGAATTAAAAGCAACTGACAAAATTGAGATTCTTGAAGGAATGAAAGAAGAAAAAACAGATGATCTTCAGAAAGATGTAAAAACAGAAAGGATTGATACTCTTGAGATAGTGAAAGAAGAAAAAGCTGAGACAATTGAAGAAATAAAAGAAAAAAAAGTCGCAATCGCAGAAGAAATAAAAGAAGAGAAAGTGGAGATTTTAAAAGAAATGAAAGAAGAAAAAATTATTGCTCCTGAAGTAACGAAAGAAATACAACTTGAATCGCTCGAAAAAATAACAGAACAAAAGATTGAAATGCACGAAGCAATTCAAAAAAAAGAAAAGATTAAAACTACTGAAGAAAAAGTTGAAGAAATTGAAATGAAGAGAGAAGAAAAAGTCGAAACTTTTGAAGGAATGACAGAAGAAAAAATTGAAGTTCTCGAAGAAAAAGCTAAGACTCTTGAAATAACAACAGAAGAGAAACTTGAAACTGAAGGAGAAAAATTTGATATTTATGAAATCAAAGAAAAAATAAAAATTCCTGAAGAAGTAATAAAAGAGCAAATTGAAATTTCTGAAGTAAATAAAGAAGGAAAAGTTGAAATTCTCGAAGAAATGAAAAACGAAAAAGTTAAATCTCTTGATGAGATCAAACAAGAACAAAAAATTGAAAGTGTTGAAATAATGAAAGAAAGTAAAATAGAATCTTTTGAAGAAATAAAAGAAAAGAAAATTGAAGATCTTGAGATAATGAAAGAAAAAAAAGCAGAAGCAATGCCTAAAATAGAAGAATCGTTACAAACTGAAAAAATGCCAGAAATATTATCCGAAAAGACAGATGAAATAATCAAGAAAGAAGAAGAAATTGAAGCATTGATTGAAACAAAAGAAAAAGTGATAGAAAAAAAAGAAATCGTTGAAAGAAAGATAATTGAAGAAGGTAAAAAAACAGAAATATTGGAAAAAAAAGAAAAAGTAGAAGAACAAATACAAGAAAAGAAAGAAACAGAGATAACAAAAGCAGAGAAAATAAAAGTATTTGAAAATGTAGAAGAGAATGAAGAAAATACTGAAAAGAAAAAAGTAATAGAGATAAAAGAACATAGTGAAAAGATTATACCTCCAAAAGAAGAAATTATTGAATCATTGATAGAAAAAATTGAAGAGCAGAAAAAAATAGAAGAATCACATGAAAAAATAAAAGGAACTACACAAAAAGAACAAAAAATAATCGCGGTATCAGAAAAAACAAAAGAAGGAAATTTGGAAACTTTACCTCAGAAAGTTGAGGAACTTACTCAAGAAGAAAAAAAATTTGAGAAAACAGAAGCAATAATAAGAAAAGAAGAACCTGTAGAAATATTAGCTGAAAAAATTGAAGAACTAGCAATAAAAGAAGAAAAAGTAGACATTTTATCTGAAATGCCACAGGAATTGGTTAAGATCGTGGAAAAAGTAGAAGCTTCCTCTGAAGATAATCAAATATCAATAATAAAAGAAGAAAAACCGGAAATTCTAATAGCAAAGACGGAAGAAATAATTAAAATTTCGGATAGCCAAACGACATTATCTGAAGAGACGAAACAATTGGTAAGCAAAGAAGAAAAATCTGAAATATTAGAAAAATCGCAAGAAATATCTACTCTTGAAAAAAATGTAGAAGAAGTAAGCAGACAAAAGATAGAATTAAAAAAAGAACAAGAAAAAATTTCTAAACCAGCAATTAAAGAAACAGAAGAACAAACGAGTAATGATATAGAAATAGAAAAATCTAAAAAAATAGAAGAAATACTAAATCAAGAAACAAAAATAAAAGAATTCAAAAAATCAGAATTATTAACAGAAGGACAAGATATAGAAAAAATACAAATAGAAGAAAAGATTGAAGAACTTTCTGACAAAATAAAGAACGAGATACAAAAAGATGAAAGTACAGAATTAACGATCAAAAGAGATAAAGAAACGGTAAAACAAGAAGAGATGATAGAAACTTTGAGCGAAAAAATGGAAGAGTTGACAAAAGTTGAAGAAAAAGCAGAAGAAGAAAGGAAAGAAGCAAAAATAAATTTCATACAAAAAACAGCATCGTCAATCAATATTATGCAACAACCTTTCAAAGAATTAGCTAATCTCGTATCTGTAGCTTTAGAAGAACCACTTTCCTCGAGATCTGAAGAAGAAAAACGAAGAATACGAGAATTAACTGCCTTAATACAAATTCTTTACGATTTAAAAGCAACGAGTACATCGACTCGAACTACATTATCTTCTTCTTCGATCCCAGAATTAGAAGTGCAATTCATTCGTCTGTTAGATACTTTAATAAATGTGGAACAAGCCACAGAAAAAATTCTTTATTTAACTCAAAAAGATCTAGCTCCAGCATTGAAGGAAAATGTGATGGTGTCGCTGCAAGTACTTTTAGAACCACTGAAATCTTTTCAACATGAACTTTCTTCACTTCAACAAATAACTGGGCAGTTTCCTATGGAATATTTCTTCTTGTCTACAAATGCACAAAACGTGAATGAAATAATTTCTGAACTTATAAAAGTGATACGAAAGACAACTGAAATGAAGAGTATGAAGGTGGTCGAAGAAATCAAAGTAATGAAATCGAAAGAAGAAAATCTAGATATCGAAGAAACCACAGCGAAGCCTCTGGAAGAGCTTATAGAAGTCCTCATGGTCTCTCAGGAACAAGTAAAACCTGTCTCTCTAATTGGTTCTGTTTCACCTTCAATAGAATCAGTCGAATTAATAGAACAACAAGCATTAATCAGTGAAGAAGAAACGAAATTAGACATGTATCTCGTGGAACAAATAGTAAGTCCAGTACAAAATTTGCGCGAAATAATTGCGAAGATAGAGGAGCAAACATTAGAAGAGACTGAAACATTAGATTTGCCTAAGCAGAAGAAGACAGCTGCTGTTATCTTGAATACTATTATCCATCCTCTGGAAGATTTGGAGCAATCTTTGAACGTCTCTGCTCAGCAACAAACATTAGCAACTGAAGAAATCACCGAGGAAATGAGACAACCTATTCAATCGTTACAATTAATTCCAGTAGCCAATGTTCTAGAAGAATTGAAGAGATCCATCATTACAATTCAAGAAGAAATGATCCTAGAGACGAGTGAAGAAATGAAGAATTCTGAAGGCAAAGTACAAATTACAAATGAGGTACAGCGATCATTGGAAAATTTCAAATTCTCTGTTGGTGCAGTACAAAAAGTCATAACCACGGAAGCTGAAAGTGTAAATACAGTATCCAATATAGAGAAGACATTGGCTATTCAATCCTTCGTCGAATCAATAAAAGAATTGGGAGACAGATGTATGGCAATTGTCAGTCAATCTATAGTAAAAGTAAAAGCTTCTGAAAAGATCCAAAAAGAAGAATTAGAGCAAGTTTTGGAAGTGATGGTTCAACCTATTCAACTATTACGTGAAACAGCTATCGAGATTGAAGAACAGAAGGTCGAAGAAATTCGAAGTCTAGACGAAACGAATAAGGATATAATCGAGGTTCTGAAACCTCTGATCCATCCTCTGGAAGAGCTGGAAGAATTATTGTGCACTGCTGTTCGTGAAGTGAGCGTATCAGAAATAAAAACGGCTGAAGAAGTGAAGAAAACTGCGGAAGAATTGAAACTAAGTCCTGTGTTGGAAAAACTACAAAAGTCTATTGCCGTGATAGAGGAACAAACAACACTGCAACCGAAAAAACTCGATGTATCTGTCACAAAAATGGAAGCATCCGTTGCTGAATTAATAGAAAGCCCATTAGAAAATCTGAAGTCGGCTGTAACAGCCATACAAACTCTCGAAACGGAAGAGGCTAAAGAATTGTCGAGTGAAGAGAAAACAACGGCTCTGAAATTATTTGCCAAATGCATGGAAGAAATAGCAAAAGTATGTTCAGTTGTCTCTAGTGAACAGAAGATTCAAGTAAGCTTGATAGAGCAGCCACAAGTGGCTAAACTCGAATTTGGTCAACAAACTTTGGAGACTATAGCAAGTCCAATTCAAATTTTGCGCGAAACTGTATCGAAACTTGACGAACAGCAAACACAAGAGGTTGAAACTCTAGTTTTGGCTGAAACAAAGGAGGCAGCAACTGTTTTGCACAGTTTGATCGAACCATTAGAACAATTGGAAAAATCGTTATCCGTAGCTGTTGAACAGATGAGTACGATTAAGGAAGAATCTACTTCAAGTTTGAAAGACATTCAATCTTTGGTGAAATTGAATGTGGAACCTGTTCTGAACCAATTGGAAAAATCGATTGCAGTAATTCAAGAACAAGTACCTTTGGAACCATCCAAAGAAGAAACAAGCGATAAATTGGAGATGTCACTCGTGGAAGCTATAGAAGAACCATTGGAGCATTTAAAATCTTCAGTAGCGGCTGTTCGAGAGATAATGTGCTTTGAAACAGAACGAGTCAGTGATCTAATTGATAAAACATCGATCTTGGAATCATTTGCGAAATCCATGGAAGAAATCGGCCAAAAATGTCTGGCAGTGGTGTCTCAGCAGCAAATAAGAATGCAACTGGTTCCTAAACAATTGGAAAAATCACAAATAGCAATACTGGAAATGGCGATTAATCCCCTTCAAGTTTTAAAAGAAACAATTAATAAAATCGAGGAAGAAAAGATGCAACGAGTCGAAGCTCTCGATTCTTCCAAAATGATTGAAAAAGAAAGAACAGATATATTAAATGTCTTAATAGAACCGTTACAGAAATTAGAAACTTGTTTATCCTCCACTGTTCAACAGGCTGTCTCGATAAAAACCGAAAAGGCGGAAGAGATGTCACAAAAAACACTTTCCACGGAAAAATTGAACGTGTCATCTGTCGTTGAAGAACTTCAAAAATGTATAGCAATGGTGCAAGAGCAAATGAAACTGCACGCAACGACAACACAATTCATCGAGCCAGCTTCTCTCGTGCAAACAGCTGAAAAGTCATTGGAAGAACTGAATTCTTCTCTTAATATCATTCGAAGCGTGATTACCGTTGAATCGAATGAAGAAGAAAAATTATCAGATACAGAGAAGGTAGCTGTCTTGGAACACTTTGCCAAATCGGTGCAAGAATTCGAAGAATGCTTAGCTGTGGTCAGTCAGCAGCAAGTGGAGGTGAAGGAAACGGTAGTTGAGCTGAAGGAAATTGAAAAACTGGATGCACGAGTTCTCGAGACAATTATTGCACCGGTTCTTGCATTGCGCGAGACTATTATGAAGATACAGGAAGAAAGCTTGGAAGAAACAGAAACATTGGATACGGAAAAGATATATGTACAGACGTTGACTCCATTGGTGCATCCTCTCGAAAAATTAGAGAGATCTCTGGTGCATGCTGTTCAACAAGCGAGTGGGCAGAAGTTCGAAGCTGTGGAAGAAATAAAAGAGGAAACTCCTCGAACGATGGCTCTTCAACCAATTTTAGAAGAATTGAAAGAGAGCATGGTTAATGTTCAAGAACAATTAACTGCGAGTTCAGAAACGTCGGAAACTGTTAAAAATATCGTTGTAGCAATTGAGGAATTGAAAATGTCTATTAGTGCGGTTCAGCAAATAGTCATAGAACAAACCGAAGAAATGAAGATTGAGAAAACATCTGTATTAGAGACTTTTGCTAAATCGATAGAACAATTGGAAGAACGATGCTCGACAGTGGTTAATCAACAAAAAATTGAAATGAAGTTGAAGGAAGGTGAGAAACAAAGGCAAGCAAAGGTGGATGTTGAAATTCTTCAGAAGATTAGCAGCACGGTTAATATTTTACGCGAATCACTTTTGCGAATAGAACAAGAAAAGGAAGTCGAAGAATTAAAAATACCAAAAGAACAAGAAATGAAATTGAATGTTCTTATAGAGCCATTGTATATCTTAGAACAAGCCTTGTTGACTGCGGTGGAGGAAGGAAAAATCGTAGAAGAAGAAACTGCGGAAAAATTGAAGAAAAATGAAGTGGCTGTTGAAAAATTGAATTTACAACCTGTTCTGGAAGAATTACAGAAATCTATAACCATCATTCAACATCAAACGAGTGAATCAGCTTCAACTTCAGAGATTACTAGTGAAATTGGTTTGACGAAGAGGTTAGTTGAAAAAACGTTGGAAGAAATGAAGTTATCCGTAGCAGCTGTTCAAGAGATCACGATTGCCAAGCAAGATGAAACGAAAGAATTGAAAACAGGAGAAGAAAATTCCCGTTTGGAGGCTTTTGGACGATCAGTGGAAGAAGCTAGTGAAAAATTGTTGAGTCCAATGAAGCAACAGGAAGTGAAGAAACTCGTGAAAGAAGCCTCGATAAAGAAGAAAGTAAGCGAGGATTTTGTGAAAACTGTAATAGAACCGATCAATGCGTTGCAAAATACGATTATGAATATAGACAAGGAAAGTGAATTATTAGGGAAGAAGAAAGAACAGGAAGCTGTGATTTTCTTAAATATGGTGCAGCCGCTTCGCAAGCTTGAGGAATCGTTTTTATCAGCTATGAAGAAAGAGACAATAACCAAATATGAGACTGTCGAAGAGATTTCTCAGGCAATTCCAGCATTACAAGAATTACCAGTCAAATCTACGTTGGAAGAATTGAACGAGCAGGTTGCAGAAATACAGAAACGGTTAGTTTTTGCCAAAGAAACCATAAGTTTGACAGGCGATACCGAAGACTTCGCCGCGATAAAAAATTTGGAAAGATCGTTAAGCGATCTAAGAACGTCTGTAGCTATTGTTCAGCAATTGACAACGATAGAGAAACCTGGCCAACAAATTCTAGACGTCGAAAATGCGTCCGCGTTGCAGGCATTTGGAAAATCCGTGGAAGAATTCAAGAAACAATGCACAGCCATTGTTTCGAGACCAAGAGTGATTGCCACAATTTTAGAAGAGATAGAATCACAACAAGCAATTAAGCTCGAAACTCAAATCCCGCGCATTCTTGTTCCTGCTAAATTGTTGCAAGAATCCATTTCGACGATAGAAGAGATCAAACTCCAAGAGGTGGAAGCATTGGAAACATCGGAAACGAAGAAATCTGTCACGATACTGAGCGAGCTTATACCGCCATTGCAACGATTGGAGCAATCTTTCATCGCTGCCATTCAAGGAGAACACGTGATGGAGCAAACAATGGAGGAAATCATGGAGACTGATCGAGTGTCGTTCGAGAAGATGATACTGAAACCATTACTGGAAGAATTTCAAAAATCAATCGCAACGATCCAAGAGCACATGATGATCGAGGAAGGTGTGCAGAGTTTGTCAGAGATAGAAAATGCTTCTCAGTTGAAGACGATGGCGCAAACGTTGATAGATTTGAAGACCTCGGTGGCCGCCATTCAGCAGGTCACTGAATCCATTCCGGAAATCGCTAGTGAATTATCCAAAGCTGAGAGTGTGTTCGAGACGTTTGCCAAGTCTCTTCACGATCTGGCAGAACGCATGGCGACTGTAGATCATCAGCAGATGATCGTTGAACCGATAGCAGACACCATATCCGAGGACGTGTCGTCCTTGAAAACTTGGGCGGATGTTGTTGAAGAACTGAACATTCAGGTGACAGAACCTATGATAGTGGATCAAGGTACGGTAGAATCACCCTCTGAAATGGCTCTGTCAATTTCTGAGGAGGAGACGCAGGCATTGAAAGGCTTGGCCAAACCTCTGAGCGAATTAAGGAATGTTTGGCGATAGTTGTCGAAGAACGGAAATCGATGGACGCGAACGAGATGACATTTGCATTGTCGGAAAAGGAGGATCTATCTCTGCTAAAGACTATGGCGCAACCATTGTTGGAACTGAAAAATGCAGCAGCGTCCGTTATCCTTGAGCAAACCACTATCGAGTCTGCTAAAGAGAAATCGTTTGATAATGAAGAGAGGATGGACACTACTCTGAATCCGTTGATCGAGCCTCTAGAAGAACTTTGCAATTCGATCGCGTTGATCGAGGATCATATGCTGATTGAATCCGCAATAGATCGACCTGTTGATGAAGTATCCTTGCTGACTGCTTTGGCTGAGCCTTTAATGACACTTCACAGAAGTATCTCAATACTTGAAGAAAGAGTAATGTCGCCTGATGTAGAGCCAATTCCAGAGGAATCGACTAATTGGATTACCGAATGTTTGGCGGTTCCATTGCAAGAGATAGAGAGATCTATAGCTGAGATTCGAGAATGCGTTGTGATAGAACCAGAGCCTGGAATTGCTGAAGAGTTCTCAAGGATCGATACACCAGATTGGACAATGGTTGAGAAATTAGTGCAACCAGTGGAAGTTATAAAATCAACGATCATTGAAATGGAGAAAAATATTGCTGGAAATAAAGAGATGGAAAAAGAAATTGAATATGAGACAGTTAAAATACTGGTGCAACCTCTGAATGACGTGTACGAAAGCTTCATGGTGTTGAAAAACAAAACTGATATGAGTGTAGAAGAAGAAGAAGCTAGTATCGATGCTATCGTAGATTCTTTGTCAAATTTAGAAAAGAGTATATCATTGATTGAGGAACAATTTTCTGAGAAGAAACAGACCTCAAGTATAGATGAAACTATAATTGGAATACTGGCTGAACCTCTAATGCAATTGAAGGAAAAGATTATGACAGTGGAAGAATCGTCAACTGCATATCTTGAAAATTTGGAGAAACCTTTGAAAAATTTGCAAGCTGCTTTGGAAATTGTTTCGACTGTTCAAATTAAGAATGTAGAAAGAAAAAGAAAAGAAACTACTGTCTCGATGGAAGAAGTGATGAGAATATCGACAAAATTGATGAATTCTATTAAAGAGATGAACAACTCTATCGAATCGATTGATAATAAGATAGAAAGTTACAAAGGTTTATTGGGTATAGAAATTCAAATCGAGAATGAAGCTTTGAAGGCATTGATTAAGCCTCTTGAACAATTGAAACAGGGAATTCAAAATGTATTGGAAAGATCTGAAATTGAAGAAACTTCGATAGATTCTTTAAAGAAACTTCGAAGGGCAATTGATATTATTCGTCAACAATCTGCTGATAAACCAATGGTTGAACCATCACATTCTGAAATAGCAGATATCTTCGGAATGTTGAGAATATTGACGATAAGCTTAAATGAGTTGGAAATGTCTAGTGAGAAGGTTGAAAAATTTTGGAAAGATAATTTAAGTGGAGAAGGTCTTGTGGAACTGGAGACACCTATTTCAAATTTAATGAGAGATATAAATCTGCTTCGTGATAGAATATTAAATATGGAAATAGTGTGGGAAAAAGATGAAGAGAAAAAAAAAGATAAGAAGAAAAAGAAAGAAAAAATTAAAGAAAAAATGAAAATAGATAAAGAAGAGGAAGAACGTGAACAGGAAGAAACTAAAAAACAAAAGCAAGAGGAAGAGGAAAAAAAGAAAAAAGAAGCTGAGAAACTGAAGCAAGAGGAAGAAGAATATAGAAAGATCGAAGAAGCTGAGAAATTAAAACAGGAGGAAGAGAAACGTAAAAAAGAAGAAGAACAACAAAAGTTTAAACAGGAAAAAGAACATAAGAAGAAAGAGGAAACTGAAAAATTAAAACAAGAAGAGGAACGTAAACAGAAAGAAAAAGAAGAAAAACGTAAGGAAAAAACGGAAGCTGAAAAACTAAAACAGGAAGAAGAGCATAAGAAAAAAGAGGAAGCTGAAAAACTAAAACAAGAAGAAGAGCGTAAGAAAAAAGAGGAAATTGAAAACTAAAACAAGAAGAAGAGCGTAAGAAAAAAGAGGAAGCTGAGAAGCTAAAACAAGAAGAAGAGCGCAACAAAAAGAGAAATCTGAAAAACTGAAACAAGAAGAAGAGCGTAAGAAAAAGAGGAAGCTGAAAA